AGGGCCGGGTTTACACCAACAGTGTCTATGAGCTTCTGGAAAATGGGCAACCGGTGAGTGTTCAGGGAGAAGGGTGCTGCTAAGGAGAAATCCAGCCCAGAGCACCAGAATTCTGACCCTGGGCCAAGCACTGATACAAATCCATTGCCCTCCTATGAGCCTTCATTTCCCGAATTTGTCCCAGGGCTGGGCAGGATTTGGCTCTGAAGGACGATAGCAACCAGTAACAGTAATCAGAGCCCTTAGCGCATACCAGATGCCAGTCATCTGACCGCCTCATCTAAGCCTCGCTACCACCTGTGGGGTGAGGACTGTTATGAGCCCTACTTCACAGATGAGGAAACCAAGATTCAAAGAACCAGCAAGAAACAAGACGATTTCAACCCGACAAACCACGTACTTGACCATAAAGTTGCCCTAAACAAAGGTGTGGGAATGTATGTAAGATCTCACATAGGTTGGAGGAAGCCCAGACCAGGGTTCAGCCCCAGAGTCCAGCCCCCACATTTGATTTCCCACTGGAGCAGTGGACAGCAGAGTGACTCAGTGGGCCTTGCCCCAGGATCTGAGAAGGAGGATCTGTGGAGGGTAAATTTAGCACAGTTATGGTCCTGATTTTAGGAGCAAAGGCCACCAGACTCCATGGATCCCATCAGGGCTGCCTCCTCCCAGAACTCCATCTCTACGGGCTGAGGGAGTGGGGCCCCAGCAGTGGCACCAGGGTCCAGAGTATGTCTGTCTGGGCCCTGTTTGAGTCTTGCCCCCATCTCACCTCTTCTAGGCGGGCATCTGTGTCCTGGAGTATGCCACCCCCTTGCAGACCCTTTTCGCCATGTCACAGGATGGCCGAGCTGGCTTCAGCCGGGAGGACCGGCTTGAGCAGGCCAAACTCTTCTGCCGGATACTTGAAGACATCCTGGCAGATGCCCCTGAATGGCAGAAAAACTGCCGCCTTATCGTCTACCAGGGTGAGGGCTTGATAGGCTACCGGGTGGGAAGAGAAGAGGTGTCCCGAGGGGTTAGAAGTAGCTCGAGTGGCACCATGCCCTGGGTCTTCCCAAGCGGTCAAGGCATCCAAGCCCGGCTCCTTCCTGCCCAGGGAAAGGTCCTACCTCTCCACTTAGGGCACTCAGTTGCTTTCTGAGTATCTGGCTACGGGTCCTGGGTGGAGTGTGAAGAGATGCGCTCCAGGAGCCCCTGACTTCATCTAGGAATGCTAGAAGAAGCAGAAAAGTCCCAGCCCCAGGACACAGAGACTGGGGCTGCTGGTCTCTGCTCTCTCTAAGCCCCATTTCTAGGATTGGGAAGGTGGAATTCTGTTATCTCTAAAACCACTTCTAGCCCCAGAATTCCAGGGAACACTAGCCCCAGGGCCAGGGGTGGGGAAGGACACAGAGAGGTGAGGGAGAGGAAGGGTTGGAGGATCTGCCCCCCGAAAGCCTCAGGGCATGTTCAAGTGAGAACATGAGAGGTCCTCACCACACTCCTCACCCACCTTCCCCATCCTTGTTCCAGAACCTGCAGAGGGAAGCAGCTTCTCCCTGTCACAGAAGATTCTCCAGCACTTGCGGCAGGAGGAAAGGGAGGTCACTATGGGTGGCCTGGACACCTCGATTGCACCCAATTCCTCCACTCTGTCCCAGGAGCCCAAGCTCCTCATCAGTGGCTTGGAACAGCCTCTACCACTCCGCACGGATTTATTCTGATGCTCAGGGTTCGCTGGCCTGAAACCCCAGTGCTCCCCAAGACTCTGGATCCCCAAGACTGTGGATTGAAGGGCTTTCTTCAGCAGCTGAATGCCCAGCAGAACCACTTCCTCCCAGAGGGAGCCTCTCAGAGAAGGTCCCTGAACTTAACATTTCAAGACGAATCCTAGGACTTTGGGCAAGTTGTTTTACCCTCTGAACCTCAGTGTCCTCATCTGTGAAATGGGATTATAATCACTGTCCTACCTATCTTGCAGGGTTGTTGTGAGGATTATGACTGTATGGAACATTTTTGTAAACTCTAAATGCCAGATAAATTTAAGGGATGTGTCAGGTGTCTTTCATTGGACCTCCAGACTGACTCTCTAGCCCTCTCTCCCTCCTCTGTCCTGGGATGGCATCGACAGGCTCCCTTGCTCTCTGAATTCTGGTCATGTTCAGTCCATGGGAAGCCCCAGTAGGAGAACAGAGGGAAAGGGAGGGAGGCGAGGTTGGGGTATTTATTCTCCCAGATTCCTCCCTGTAGCACCAAGGTCACTGTGGGCTCTCTGCATCTCTGACCTAAAGCCATGCTTCTGCCATGCTCTCGGTAACCCTGTCTCTCCCCAGGTTCCATTATCTGCCCCTTCCCCATGCTGCTCAGACCTAACCATGGTCCTGGCTTCCTGCTAATGTCCCTTCTGGAGCACTCACTCTTCACTTATAGTCTCCTTATACCTGCCCTTTCTGAACAGCCCCCTTTCTTTAAAAAAATTTTTTCTTTAGAGAGTACATACATGGGTGTACATGGGGGAGGGTGGGTGGGGAGGGGCAGAAGGAGACAGCGAGAGAGACTCTCAAGGAGCTCCACGCCCAGCATGGAACCTGATGTGGGGCTCAATCTCACAACACTAGGATCATGACCTGAGCTGAAATCAAGAGTCAGACGCTCAACCGACTGAGCCACCCAGACACCTGTAAATAGCCCCCTTTTCAGCACTCCTCAGATGACCTATTTGAGTATGCCATCTTTCTCTGGCTGGACTCTGACTCACACAAGCAATCTGAAATGTCCAAATCCACTTGCACAGACGTACTTCCACTTCCTTAGACCCCCTAGACCCCTCCTTATTCTTTGCCCATGGACAGGGCAGTGTGGTGGTGAGCATGCGTTCACTGCGGACGGAGCCTAGGAGTCAGGCTGGGGGCAAAGAGTATAGTATGCCCCATGGGCCTTTGTCTCTAGTGAGAGGCTGGGGAATACGGAGCGGCACACAGCCACATCCGGGGCAAGGGGCTACTCGAAGGACCAGGGGCCACTGGATGAATGTGCCCGGATGATAGAGCCTGCAAACGGATAAGGGGGAAGGGGAGAAGAGGGTTTGTGTGAGGAGATAGGACATACTCTGGGAGACCTCGGACAACACACCCAGGCATCTGCTGTGTCTTATGCCATGCCATCACTGTTAGAACCGAGCCATTACAATGCTGTAATGGCAAACCTCCCCTATCAGGGAGGGCAGGCAGCCCATTTCTACCAGTTCCTTCTGTTTTACCCACGACTTGTTCCCTACCTCCCACTCTGGTTTGATTTTGTTTCATTTTGTTTTAAATTTTTTTAAGTAACCTCCATACCCAACATGTGTCTCGACTCACAACCCCGAGATCAAGAGTTGGACGCTCTATTGACTGAGCTAGCTAGGTGCCCTTCACCTCTGTTTTTTTATCACAAATGCTCAGCACAAATTTCTGCATACAGCATCACTGTGGAGATGGGCCCAACAGACGGACACACATTTGCCAGAAGGAACCAACTGCTCCCAAGGATTCCAGAGCCTAAGGAGGAAAGGAGGACACAATCTCTTCTTCCCAGCTGTCCCAGCCATCCTGCCCCCCAAGGCCCGAGGCTCCTCCAACCTTACACCAATCATTCCTGTGCCTAGAAACCAGGGGAGAATCCAGGGCCTTTCCAAAATGACCTGCCCCCACCCATCTAGCCCCCAACTTGGTGCTTAGGTTGGAGAGTCTGACAGTTCAGGTTCAAATCCTGACTTCCCCACTTGGCATCTGTGTCCACCTGGGGATCTGGATATCCTCCACTGTAAGACTGGGAGAACAGGGGCTCTTTCTCCCAAAGTTGTTATGCGGAGTGAACGCTAGGATATCCACAGGTCCACGGGTGAGTCGGGTGCCCAGCGTACAGCTGGACCACAAAGGAGGCAGGCCAGTCCTCAGTGCCCATTACAATCTCCACCTCTGTTCCTCTGCATTGTCTGCCATCCTCACCTTCCTGACGGCCAGGGTCTCACCAAGGCCAGTACCAGGGTGCATCTGCTGTCCTCAGGCATTCCCCAGTGTAAAGAACCCAGATGCCCCTCCATAAACGCCTATCTGCACATTCTCAACCGCACAACACTGAGGTACAGTTGGGTCAGGGACAGGGTGCCTTTTGGAGAGCCACCCGGAGGCTCAGCACTGCCTTCCTGCATCTTATCAATCTCCACGCCCACCATCCCCTGCAAATCCCTCTCCTCACTCCTTCTTTCCCTTAGACGAGCAGCATGGAGCTCCTTTTCCTTTCTTGTGTTCCCACTAGCTGGAAGGTTCTGGATTTGGGACACATCATGGGATAAATTTTAGGCTGGTTCCAACTGGCCCATACACACAAAAAGGGACAGGTAGAGAGAGCCCCTGAATTCCCTCCATCTCATCCTAGGAAGGCAAGAAAAAGTCTTGCCCCAACATAGTAGGAGGCATTCAAAAGCCATGTAGGGAGATATAATTGGTGCTTGGAGCTTTACAAGGGCCTTGGAAGTTGTTGAGGAGGGTTAGGCCCCAGGAGCCAAAGGGCTATCTTCTGATCAGTGAAGGGCAACAGATTTTCCTTCTTTTCCTGAGTACCAGAGAAGGCACCCCTAGGTTCTTTGCTTCGGCTCTCCCTGACTAGCTCTCACAGGACCTGGGGGCACTGGGGGCAGGACCTCTACAGCGAGACTCTTGAGATTCCCCGCACAGGGGTAGGGTAGGTGGGGGAATCTTGCAAGCTGGACTCATGCAGACACCAAAAGCAAAGGAGATTAGGGATGAGAGGAGGAGGTACAAAGTTGGTAAAGGAGGGTCAAGGATCTGATGGTCCTGAAAAGCAGGGAGTAGCTTTGTGAGGGCAGCTTTGGGCCCTGGTAATGCTCACAGGAGCATGTTTCCAGGCAAAGCCCTCAAGCTTCTTTTATTTCTCCTGTCCGCATCAGCACTTTCTCTATAAATATTCTGCCGAGAGAGCAGCTCCAGCTGAGTCCATGTGTGCATTTCCAAAGCTCTGATGTCCAGACCCCAAGTTGCTTTTGCCCTAATTCTCTGTCCAGTTTCTTGTTGTGAGCCAGGTCAGTCCAACTTTTCAAAGTGTCCCTCCTATAGACATGTGACTTCATCAACGCTGAGCCTAGGCCCATCTGGCACGGGGCAGGAGCCAGGGACAGGAGGTTCCTGCCAGGTGTCTCCATGAGCATCCTGGGGGCCCAGCACTCGCCATTGGATGAGGTAGATGCCGCCTTCCGGCTTTGGGGCTGGTGGCTCTGCGGGGAGAGTGGCACGGCCCTGGTGTAGTCTTGGCCCAACGTGGACTGCCACCACGATACAGACAGCCAGCAGGACAAAAGCGGCAACAATGATGGTGAGCAGGGGTAGCCCATCCCCTCTTGGTGGTTCCCAGGTCCCACCCGGCACCTCTGGGAGTTGCCTTTGGGGCTCCTGCCCTGAGCCGTTCACAGCTGCAGAAGGCCAGGGACGTTGGCCAGCCTGGTAGGGGAGTGGCAGAGAGAAAAAGGGTGATATGGGCCTGTGCACATGGAAAAAGAGCCAAATGGAGAGACAGATACCCAAAGGGAACTGAGAGACAGAGAGCATTAGGGAGAGAGAAACACAGATAAAGAAAGGGAGTGAAGACATGGAGAGACAAAGAAAGGGAGGGAAGACATGGAGAGACAAAGAAACATACAGATAAACACATGCATAGCAATAAACCCCACAACTCCCCCCACAAAAAAACCCGCATGTAGGAAGAGAGAGAATCAAAGAAAAATACAGGTGCGTGGTGGAGGGATACAGAGAGAAAGAGGAAAACACAAAGCCAAGAAGACAAAGAAAGAGAGATAAAGAACCAGGAATGAAATAGATGTAGAGAGAGAAAGAGAATAGGGAGACAAAGTCATTCAGAAAGGGATGGAGAGGGCTTCCTTACAGTCTGGCATGCAGAGTGTGGCCCCCCACATCCGTCCCCTCCCACTGATCTGTCTATCCAGGCCTCCAGTAAAATTCTAATAGATTATATGTCCTAGGTCAGGAATCTGAGGCCACGAGGGGCTGCTGTTCCATGGCCCGGCCTGTGGGCAGGGAGCAGCCCTTCTTCAAGTCCTGGGAGAAGGGAGTCATTGTGTTGAGCGTCTTAGGTTCCCACCACCCTCAACACACACAGAAGGCAGAGGGGTGGTACCTTGGGGGAGGGAGAAAGGAAAATGAGGCAGGAACCCCCACAGCTGGGGGTAAAGCAAAGGGGGTAAAGCAAATACCTCATCCCATAACATAGGATCTTCTTAGGGGTCTCAGGTCTGGACCTAGAAGGGAGGGGATGCCCAGTGTGGATTCCTGGCTGCATTGAGGAGAACCCATGCCAGCCTCTGCCTCTCTCAAGGTCCCAGCCAGAAGCTGGGGGTAATGTCTGTCTGTCTCGGCTCTGCTAACTGTTGAGTAAGGGTGGGATGGATTACCATGAAGGTAGCAAACCTCCAAACGATAAATGCCAGAGCCAGCTGATGAAGTTACCACAGGCTCAAGAAAACTTCTCTCCCTAGCCTCCCTCCCCATCCCCCCTGGACCATCAGTGCCCCCCCCCTCCCGACATGGGGGTGGAGCCTCTCCCCTAAACCTGGAGCCATCAGCCTGGCCCTCCCCCAAGAGATGGCAATTGGGGTCCAGGGAAGACTATTGAGAACACTCTCTTTAGTTTCTCAGTCACACTGTCATCCCCAACACTGTCCCTTTGCATGTAGGAAGCCCAATACCAACCCCCAGTTAAAAGTCTGAGGCTCTCTGGGGTCCAGGCCACAGAGCTCCCTGCACAGGGGAGGGAGTGGGAAAGCAGCTCCAGATGTACAGGGGAAAAAGGGAAGTTCAGGCTGGGGAAAGGGCTGGGGTCCCTGCAGGGAGACAGGCAGCTTAGCTGGAGGGGTTGAGCCCAAAGTCTACCTGGTGCATTGTCCGCCTGGTGCAAGGCTCCCCGGGGACTGGCGGCCAGCCCTGAGAAGAAGAGCCTGCTGCCCCAGCTTGTCCCCTACCCGGAGCTGCCACGTCTATGGGGCGCACACACCCTCTGCATACATACTCTACCGTGCTTTCACTTCCGCGAATACTGGGACTCCCCAGGGCCCAGCCCTTCCTTAACTGTGATCTGACCTTGATCTGGGCACCTCCTTTCTTGCTCCCTGCTAGCTTTAGCAGCCTGGGTCTGCCTGCCCACCCCTCCTCCAGCAAGTCCCAGACACCTTGCCAGCGCCCCCACCCCATCCTGCTCCCCACGGTGACATCCCACTCCCCACCTCGACTAATTTCCTGACAGTACTGTTTCTTCAATTTTTTTTTTAAATGCAATATCTCAAACACACTGGAAGTAGACTATAATATACTAAATCCCTTGGTCCAACCACCAGCTCTGTCGATCTTAACAGTTTTTCATGTTTATTTCAAAATTTTTTAAGAACCAAAATATTACAAATAAAAAAGAAGCCCCACTTCTTGACCTCTCTCCTCCTTCTTACCCCATGGGTAACCATGTTGTTGAATTTGATGTTTATTATTGCTGTGCAAGGTATTTTTTTCTCATTGGACTTTTTCTTCTTTGGTTTTTACAAATATGAATCCTACACGTCTCTTTGCATTTGTCTGAATGTAACTTCATTTTGAGAATGTGTGGGCTTCAATGTGTCCAAGTCAAGAAAAGTGCCCACCGGGGCATCTGGCAGATTCTGTCCATATAGCAAGCGGCTCTTGATCTCGGGGTTGTAGCCCCACGTTGGGTGTAGAGATTACTTAAAAATAAAGCCTTTTTTAAAAAGTGCCCATCCAGAGAGTTCATAAAGGGTAATTTTTGGTCTCAACTAACTCCATGAAACCAGCCACCCTTCATTCTGTCCCTTGCTGTGCTTGTACCGCCCTCCATTCCAGTCTGAAGACCAGGAGACCCCTGGGAATTCCCTTCACCCAGTAGTTTGATCTCACGAGGCAAGATGGTGCCTCCTGATTCCTTGTCCTTCAGCCAAGCTTCTCCACACTCCGACATTCAGAGACCTCATCTGCCAGCTCACTGAACCTGAGGTCACTGAGCCGCTGGCCTGACCCGGCAACTGAGTGAGACAAGTGGTTGGCTGACCTTGAAGCCAGCTAGGAGGCTAACCCCCTACTAGTGCCTCCAAGGCTCTGGATGTCCCATATGGGTTCATTCAGCCTTCAGCCAGAGGGAATATGGGCTCTGTCACAGGCCAGAGCTTCAGCCTCTGCTCTTTGGTTCCTGCCCCCTTAAGACACATGTCCCATTGCTTCCATAGGCACCACCACTGAGGCTCCAGTCCCTGAGTCAAAAAGCCCAATTCCTGATCCTGCTGAGGGCTCATCTCCCCTTTCCCTCCCTCATCAGTCTTGGATCTACTTCCTAAAAGGCCTGAGAAAGGATAAGGGGGAACTTTTGGGACTAGACCATTGTTTCAGCCTTCCTTAACTTGTCCATCTCTATGCTCAGTGTTGGGAGCTGTGCTTCCCCATTCCCACCATCTAAACTTTAATCATCTTTTATGGCTTTGGTTCAAGCTCCACCTCTGCCAGGAATGTAGTCTTCAGCACACTCTACTGATGTAGCTTTCTTTATTTTCCTTCAACCCTACACTGGTATGTTTCTTCCCTTGCTCCTGACATTTGTCACACTTTGATATACAGGTGTGTGGGGGCCCATTTTCCCTCCTAGCCTCTGAGCCCCATCAGGGCTTCCTGTCTGTGTCCCAGAGTCCATCACAGTGCCTGGTGCTAGACAGCAGGTACTGGACAAAGTTTGCTGAATAGAATTGGAAACTGGAAGCATCCTCCCACCCCCATCCTGTCCTGAGTCCTGGAGTTTTGTAAGCCGTTACCTTGCACCTATGGGGATGGCAGTTCTCAGCCACGACAGGTGTTCAGTGACTTTCTCCCTCTGTTTCTTTTTGGCTTTGTGTTGTAATGGAATCTCTCAGGTTCAGGTTCTAAAATGATCAAGAATCTGCTCTTATTTCAGAGAAGAAAAGCCCTGGCTCTCAACATTTGAGCACTGGAACCACAAATAAAAAGACTCTGGGGTCCTCCCCACCGTCACCCCTCTGGGCAGGAGGCCCCTGACTCAGTTCCGTACACTGGGGTCATTTCTCTTTTCCAGCTCCCCGGTGGAGGCAGAAGTGGCCTTGGTGCCTAGGGGAAGCAAGGAGCAGCCCTTCCTCCCTCCTGTCCTCACTGAAGGAAGCCATGGTTAGGATTCTGCTGCTGAAGCTGAAGGAGAGGGAATTGTGTGGACATTCTGAGCAAGCCAGCAGGAGGTTTCCAGGATAGGGAACATCTGGGACCTGGCTGCCTTTTGGGGTTCATTCTTAAGTTCTGCATCACTGGAAGCAGGCTGAGAGCAAGGGCTACCCATCCCAACCGCATCCGATTTCCAGCCTTCTTATTAAAAGCTATAGGTCTATAATGGGTGTCGGATTTCTTTGTCGGGTAATGAAAATGTTCTAAAATTGGTCATGGTGCTGGTTGCACAAGTCTCTGAATAATATTAAAAGCCACAGAATTGTACAGTTTAAATGGGTAAATTGTATAGTAATCGTCTTAGTAAAGCGTCTTAGGGTGGTCAGGTTGCTATACCAAAATACCATAAACTGGGTGGCTTATAAACAACAGAAATCTATTTCCCACAGTTCTGGAGGCTGGGAAGTTCGAGATCAAGATGACAGCAAATTTAGTGTCCATCACGATCCCACTTCCTGATTCATAGATGGTGCCTTCTCACTGTGTCCTCTTGAGGCTCAGAGGGACAAGCTAGCTCTCTAGAGTCTCTTTTATAAGGGCACGCTTCCTGCTCAGGAAGGCTCCACCCTTAGGACCTAATCATCTCCCAAAGGCCCCACCTCTTAATACCATCACCTTGGAAGCTAGGATTTTAATATGAATTTTGAGGGGACACAAACGTTCAGCCTTTAGCGGCATGTGAATTATATCTCAATAAAGCTCTTAAAAAAAAAACCACAATAGGGGCACCTGGGTGGCTCAGTGGGTTAAAGCCTCTGCCTTCAGCTCAGGTCATGATCTCAGGGTCCTGGGGTCGAGCCCCCGGGCATCAGGCTCTCTGCTCAGCGGGGAGCCTGCTTCTCCCTCTCTCTCTGACTGCCTCTCTGCCTACTTGTGATCTCTGTCTCTCAAATAAATAAATAAAATCTTAAAAAAAAAAAAAACACAATAGGGGCACCTGGGTGGTCCAGTGGGTTGAGCGTCTGACTCTTGGTTTTGGCTCAGGTCATGATCTCAGGGTTCTGGGATCCAGCACCATGTCAGTCTCCCCACTCATTGTGGAATCTGATTGTCCCTCTCCCTCCCCCTCTGCTCCTCCCTTCACTCTCTCTCTGTGTCTTTCTGTCTCTCAAATAAATAGAATCTTTAAAAAGTAATAGAAAAAGAAAATAAAAAACATAATAAAAAACTAAATATCTATTAGAATGGTTAAAACGAAGCCTGTAGTTGTCTACAGCAGTATCAGCCGTAAAAAGAAAAACCAGAAGCACCTTAAACGTTTAAAAACAGGGAAGTGGTTAAACAGACCACAAAACAGTAAATACGTTGCCATTAAAACTGATCACAATGAGGGGCACCTGGGTGGCTCAGTGGGTTGACTCTTGGTTTCGGCTCAGGTCATGATCTTGGGGTCACAGGATCCAGCTCTGCACTCAGCGTGAAGTCAGCCAGTCTCTCTCCCTCCCTCCTTCCATCCCCCCTCCACATGCATACTCTCTCTCTAAAATAAATAGATAAATAAAATGTGAAAAAAAATACAATCGTGGTGAAGACTGTGAGCCAGCAGGACATGCTTATGATTTGAAAATAAAGGGAAAGCTCTTCCTTCTCTTGTTCTCCCTTTACTTCTAGAATAATCCAGTCCCAAAGGTGAGGCAGGACAAGTTAGGCAACTTGGAGGTGGGAGGTAGTCACAGAGAAGGCTGTTAGAGCCCAGGAGGCATAGGAAGGGCCCAGAGTGAAGGGTCAGAGCCTGAGTAGAAGGTATCCTTCAGGGGAGGGTGGCGCTGAGATGGGAGGTTAGTTACAAGGCGAGTGATCAAATAAATTCAGTGAGAGCCAGATTTAAGAGAAGGGCCTTGGAGGGGTGCCTGGGTGGTTCAGTTGGTTAAGCTTCCAACTCTTGATTTTTGTCTCAGGTCATGATCTCAGGGTCATAGGATCGAGCCCTGAGTGGGGTGCTATGCTCAGCACAAAGTCTGTTTGTCCCTCTCCCTCTGCTCCTCTACCCACCCCCCACTCTCTAAAATATATAAATAAAGGGTTTTTTTTTAAGATTTTATTTATTTATTTGACAGACAGAGATCACAAGTAGGCAGAGAGGCAGGCAGGGGGTGGGGGGGCGGGAAGCAGGCCCCCCGCTGAGCAGAGAGACCCGTGCGGGGCTCGATCCCAGGACCCTGAGATCATGACCTGAGCCGAAGGCAGAGGCTTAACCCACTGAGCTCCCCAGGTGCCCAGGTTTTAAAAAATCTTAAAAAAGAGAGAGAGAGAGAGAGAGAGAGAGAGAGGCCTTAGAGAGGCTACTCCGAGTAGCAATGAGCATGCCTACTGACTGGATCTCAGTTTCTAAATACCATTTGTAACTAGGGCTCCTTGGAGAAATAGCCAATCCCAAGGTTGGGCACAGGATGAACATGGAACATCTTGTTATTCCAGAAAGTAAGAAAGTGCTCAAAGAATGATGGAACCACGTCAACAGGACACGAAAGCCAGCTTGAAGAGATCCCCAATGACCAAAATGGGGACAATTTGTGCATCAAAATAATAAACGATTGTAATATGTAGTATTTACATAATTACAAAGGTGAAAAGAGGAACTTTAAAGTGGGAGAAAAGCTAGCCATAGTGCCTGAATGGTACCCCCCACAAAAATACATTGTTATCTTAGTCCCCAGAACCTGGGAATACTACCTTCCATGGAAAAACAGTCTTCGCAGATGTAACTAAGTTAAGGATTTGGGATGAGGAGGTCATCCAGGATTATCCAGATGGTCATGAGATTCAATGACAAGTGTCTTTATAAGAGGCACACAAAGGAGAAGGTGATGTGAAGATGGAGGCAGAGACTGAAGTGATGTGGCCACAGCCAAGGAATGTCCAATAGCTGCTGGAAGCTGGAAGAGGCAAGGAACAGATACTTCCCTAGAGCATTGGGAGGGAATGCAGCTCTGCCAACATGAAGAACTGTTCAGAATAACCAGAGGGGCACCTGGCTGGCTCCATCAGGGGAGCAAGCGACTCTTGATCTCAGGCTTCTGAGATGGAGCCCCACATTGGTTGTAGAGATTACTTAAAAATAAAACCTTAAAAAGAAGAAGAACAATGTTTGTAAGGCCTCCATGAAAGGTGCTGGGCGTCCCATCCGCATGGGGAGCCCTGAGGAGGGAGAGGAAAGGGAAGCATTCAATGTCTCCTGAGCATGGGTGGCTGGTGGGCTGAGCTTCAAGGCTCAGTCATGGGCGACAGGGACCTGGTCTGAAACAGTATGGGGACGGATTGGAGTTTGACTCCAGGAAAACCTCCAAAAGCCTCCAGACTGTGTGTGGAGGGACCTGATGGCCCCTCAGAGGGGAAGAGAGGGGGCCTGGAGCCTCTCGGCCATCACTGATCTTTGTTGAAAGGCCCTGGAGAACAGACACCACAGTGGCTCTAGCCCAGGCCAGGCAGAGCTCCGAGCATGGTCACGGCTGCTCCAGCCTTACATCCTCATCTGGGCCTGCTGGGCTGAGCAGGGCCCCTGGAGCCAGTCCCAATCTGTTTCCTTCTATTCTTTGACAGGAAGCTCCTGGAGAGCCAGCCCCCACCCGACACCCCGCCCCAGCACTCCCTCTCTCTTCTCCACTATGGACAGAGCCATCGTGGAGCGGCTGCTTGCCCGCCACAGACCCCGCTGACATGGGCACCGTCAGAGCCACGCAGCTGTGCTGGGCCATCCTTGGCGTCCTCCTAATCCAAGGTAAGAGGCACTTGCCCCTCTGCTCCAGCAGCTCCTCTCCCGCCGCTGGCAGTCCTGGGCGCCAGTCCATCCTTCACCACAGACAGACCGAGGCACATGCTCTCCATCCAGGCCCATGCCCAAGGGAAATTCCAGAGCTTTCTCATGAAGGGAACCAGTTGAATTGGGGGGGGGGTCAGTACCGAGTGAACGCAAAGTTGAGGTGTGGTGAAACCCTTTTGTGAGAAAATTTCCAGGATGAACTGGGGCACCCACAGAGGCTGGTCTCCTGAAATGTGGGGAAGCGACTCTCTTGGTGTGAGACTGAGGCCAGAAAGCTCCTTCCAGGGTGTTCTAGCATACAGTCGTCTGCGCTTCAGGCTTTACAGGTGATCCTTACTCTTTTTCATATGAGGAGTAACAACATGGGCATTCCAAATGTTGACTTGAAGCTCAAATCACAGCAAGAGGGACTCAGGTTAGATACAAAGAACTATTTACCAGAGAGGATGTACACAGCATCCTCGCCCAGTGGGGGGCTGGGTGAGAAGATAGCCAGAGGAGATGACTGGAAACAACACCTCTGACACTGCCTTCTGCTAGCCCATGAGGGGTGAAGCAGCTCACAAGGGGTCCCCTAATTAGGGAGCAGTTGCTGGGAACCATGAGAAATCCAGGAGATTCTGACTCACAGGGTAGCGACTTCCCTTTGGTCATCCCTTCCCCACCCCCACCTCACTCTCCAGCCGTCCTCTGTTGTGGACTTATGAGCCTGCTCTCAGAGCAGCAGAAAAGAGTGCAGAAAAGTGCAAAGTGCTTGGACGGGGAGAGAGGATGGCTCTCCCCTGGTAGGGGGTGGGAAGCCTGAGTTCCAGTACTCCCTCCCGAAGAGGTCAGATTTTTCTCTAGAAGCCCATGGGCTCAGAGTAAGACTCTGATTGCTCCCCCACCCCCAGCCCCACACCCCCAGAGGACAGAGTCACACATTTGGTCTGGGGTTGCAGGACTAAACTCTTGTAGAAACCACAGAAGTGGCAGAGGAGGAGATTAAATGGCAAGACTCGTGAGGGGGCAGTGTCCCAGGAAGTGGGAGGGCTTGAAACATCCTGTGTAAACGCTACATAAGCCATGCTCACCCCTTGAATTTTCTCATCTCGAAATCTCGAAATCTCAGTACACTTACTATCCCCCTTGAGGGAACCATTGGGAGGCTAATCAGGCCCACAAGGCGACTTGACGTGGATACACAGAGACTTGGAGGATTGGAGGGAACAGTGCAAAACTGAAAATGTCTAGTATGTATTGAGCATGGACTGTCTGTCAGGCACTGGGTTAAGTGCTTTAGATGAATTTTCTTATCCTCACAATCACTTATGAGGTATGAAAGTCATCTGAGTTTTAAAGAAGAGAAAATAGGCCTAGGTCGGAGAGGAAGTGGTGGAGTCTGGGCTTGAACTCACACCTGTCAGACTCCAAAAGCTGTGATTTTTTAACTATTAAATTATGCTGCTGAAGAAAATAAGGGACAGGGGTGGTGGAGAGGGAGAAGGGAAAGGCTGGAAGGTCATGAAGCAGGTAGGGATTAGGGAGAAGAGATGGGAAAATCAGAAATCTCTGCGGCCCTCGGTTCTTGGGCTGTCTGTATGCCCAGTGGTCAGAGGCACCCTGGCCTGCAGAAACAGGTGTTCCTTAAGTCCCTCCTCTACTCACAGAGGAATCCACTGGTGACAGAAAGTGCTGGTAGGGAGACAGGGCCAGAAGACAGAGATCAGGGTACTTGAACTTGGAGTCTGTGACTCTGGAACTCCTTCCAAGCCCCTAGTTTTGTTCCCACATCTGCGGGAAGGCAGTGTACTGTGGCCACGCACTAAACGCTAACGTTATGACCTGACAGAGCTCAGACGGAACCTAAAACACGCTGGATCAGTAGCTGACGGCTGTTTTCAGGATGTGCCTTGAAAGGTGTTCTTCCAGGGTCATTTTCAGCTGGTAGAGTTCTCTCCAGCCTCAGGCACCTAGAAGTGTTAATCCCCCTCCTACGCCCAGAGACTGGTGACCTGGAAAAACACAGCCAGGCTTTAGGCAAGCTTGGGCCTGGAAACCATTAAATCCCCACTGTCCAAGTGATAGCCCCACGGAGGAAGGCAGTGGCTAAGGAAAATAAACAGACCGGCAGGCTGCCACAGGCTGGGAGGGCCCTGGCCGGCAGCTGCCTCCGCTCACCCTGCCCCAGGCTTGGGACTTCCCTGCGGACAGGCGGCCTGGGAGCCCAAGGGCCAGGCCAGAGGCTGTGGTCCCTGCCGAGGCAGAGAGACGGGAACCAGGCTGGGCGGGTCCACTTCCCCATGTTGTTTTCATTTCACATTGTTCACAGGTTTCAAGAATGATTTCATTGTGGAAAATGAGCAAACACAACCTGACCTTTCAGGTCCCACACACACAGGGGACGCACACAGGGGCACAAAAACACACATACACAGCGGCACAGAGGCCTGCAGGCATACACGTGTACAAACCGAAAAGCCAGTGAGGGCTTCTGACTGGGGCCTCCTGGCAACTGGCTCCTCCCTGGCTTTGGCCAACAATGGCCGTTTCTGAAGTAGCCTCTGCCTGTGAAGGTAAAATTGGCCACGTGTTCTAGACCTTCCCTGGCCTTTATATATACCTCAGAACTCACTTCTTGTGTGTGCTCTTCCTTCCTACTGGGGTACGGGGCAGAGAGACAGCCCAGATACCAACCCCAGTCCCTAACCTCATTTTATTCACCACGTTATTCTTTCCATCCCCTTCCCTTGGGGGCAGGACCAAGATGACAATATTCACAGGGAGAAATGGATGGCTCAATGGTACGAAAGCAAGAATCTGGAGTCCTAGGTCCTTATCCAGACATCACAGGTCACTGGCCCTTTGTTCTTGGACAAATCACTGGTTTGAAATAACCTTCCCCTGACCTCCTATCAGCTTGGCTTAGAACCCACGTGGCATTAAAGAGACAGAAAAGGATTCTGGGACACTGAACTTGAGGTGGGGGTGATGGTACTATTGAGTTATGGTTTCAGAGGAAGCTAGGCCTGTGAACCAGAGCCACGTCCTCCAGCCCTCTGCCAAGTGTGCCTGCCTTCCAACACGGAAGGCTTGGAAAGACTGGGTTCTCCTGTGGGCTCAGAGCTGGGCAAGAGTCTCGCCAAGCTGGTCAAAGTGTTCTGCTCTCTCTTGCAAGCCACCACTCCCAGCCCAGGGCAATCCAGACATCTCACCCTCAGGGTAAGACCAAACACACGGGACCTACTCTAGCATTGAGGCCTGGCCACTTAGGGCAAGAGGAGCACAGATCTCAGGTGACTGGGGGTGGGGCCCGAGCTCTTAGGACATCAAAGGCTGAGCTCTTCTGGGGACTATTTCAGCTTGACCTAGGCTAATGTGCCTCAAAAGAGGAGACGGATGAATGGTTGGAGGTTGGGGGGTGGGGCAGGGAGAAAGATTAGAAAACTCCATCTCTGTGGAAGAAGACAGGGAGACGGAGCAACAGCCTCAGATGATTTGTTTCAGGAAATTTTAGCAGCCCAAGTCGGACCACAGAGCCACTTTTTTCCACCATAGGTGAGTGAGTGTGGCTGCAGAAGGGCTGCTCCCTGCCCCAGCCCAGCCCCCTGCCCAACCCCCCAGCCCTTTGGATCTGCTTGGAGCCCAAGGGTTCTCAGCTGGGTAAGGGAGTGTGGTGTCACCCAATTTGCCCCCTCCAATCTCTCCCTGCCTCTGTCCTTGCAGGAATGAGCCTTTCCTCAGATCCCAGCAGCCCAAGCTCTCTGGCCAGCACTAGGACCCAAGGTACTCTGAGGCTCAGATCCAGATGCCTTCTGGGGAGGGCCCAGTGAGGAAGCAGACACAGTTGCTGCCCTACAGGAGAATACAGACTCGTGGGGAGCAGACAAGTAAATAGGACCTCATGTGGCCAGCTACAAAGCAGGGGGAAAGGGCTGTGATGAGCACAGCAGAACGTGCTGCAAGGGCCGAGACAGACTTGGACGTAGGCCACTTCTGACTCAGGGGCCAGGGGAGACATGCTAGAGTGAGTGACCTTGGAAGTGGAGGTCCAAGACTGAGTTAAGCAGATGAGGACTGTGGGGTGGAGGGTGGTAGGGTAGGGTAGATTTCAGGCAGACAGAACCCTATAGGTAAAGGCCCAAAGTTAAAAAGAGAGGATGGCTTCTTCTGGAATTGAAAGCAGTAAAGAAAAGGAAGGTTTGGGGCTGAAGAGGGACCCTTGTACACACTGGCTGAGGCCTGAGCAGGCCCACCCATGCTTCCTACTCCACAGCAGCTCAGGACAAGACCTCACAGGTCCTCATGGTGACCAGTAAACCTGTGACACCAAGCACCAGCACCATGGACAGTCAGTCCCAGGCACAGACGTCCACAGCAGGACTTGGTGAGTACCTGGGGCTGAGGGTCAGGAGCACTGGGTCATGTTTGGTTGGGGTCCTTCTCTACCTCTTCAGGATGCCCAGGTTCTGCCCCACAAGGAGGCCTCGCAGGGCCGGGAGCCACATCAGTGGCAGCTTGGTTTGGGGATGAAAGAGGTTTGGTGGGAAGTAGAGACACAGCCTTGGGCCTGGTCACAATGAAGGCAAAAGGAGCCTGGACTCAGGACTGATGAAGGCATGGAGGGGAAAGGGAGAAGTAGAACCCAAAATGATGGAAAGGGAGGCAAAAGGCTTTCGGCCAGGGCTCCATGCTCTTCTGTGCAGGCTGACCTCACACGCCAGTGTGGGGCAAGAGGTGGGAGGGGACAGACACCTCCGTTGTGGCCCTACTGTCCTATCTGTGTTCTCAATGAAGAGCACCCTGACCCTTTCTTTCATCCTACCCCTTGGCTCTGGGATTTTTTTTTATACTCACAGACTTATTTGGCAGTGCAGGGATGGATAAGGAAACGGACAGCAATCAGACCAGCAGTACAATGAGTGGAAGAGGGGGCGCCTGGCTGACTCAGCTGCTGGAGCTACGACTCTTGATCTCAGGGCTACAAGTTCAAGCTGCATGTTGGGTGTAGAGATGACTTTAAAATAAAAGCTTTAAAAAAAAAAAAAAAGAGTCAAAGGGGAGAAGAGATGGGTGATCATACTACTTTTTAAAAAAGACTTTATTTATGTATCTGACAGAGAGAGAGACAGAGATACACAGTAAGAGAGGTAACACAAGCAGGGGAGTGGGAGAGGGAGAAGCAGGCTTCCCACTGAGCAGGGAGCCCAATGTGGGGCTCAATCCTAGGAACCCAGGATCATGACCTGAGCTGAAGGCAGATGCTTAACAACTGAGCCACTCAGGTGCCCTGATCGTACTATTTTTTAAGAGGACCAGAATCTTGTGCCCCTTAACCAGCAGCCTGCCTTATTAAATGAGTGCCTGGGGATAAACCTCCAGTGCGCTTTTTTTCCTCTTGCTTCAACCTTTGGCAAGATACAGAGGGCTCTACCTTGCCCAGTCTGGCTCCCTATCTGTGGAGCACAAATGGGTCCCAAGGGGATGGTGGGAAGAGAGTAATAGGGGAGGCATCCTGAACTTTTTGGAGTCCCCTGCAGCTAGTAATATGAGCAACCAGCAGAGCAATCACCTGATCCCATGTTACATCACCCAGTCCGACCCCCGTCCTCACGAGATCTGGTGTGAGTGGCAGGAGGAAGTCTTTTTTGTAGGGCATGGGCTCCTTCTGAGTTCTTTACCTGGGAAAGTGGGAGGGGAGCTAGCTCTCTCCTCTGGCAGGCCATCCCATTCCCATCACTAATGCACCCATCCCCATTCCATTTCAGACACTTCTCAAAATACTACTCCCATATCAACCACCATGAGCCTGAGGACCAAAGAAGACTTGTCTGTCCTGCCCAGTCCCACATCAGAGACGGTGCTCACTGTGGCTGCATTTGGTAAGAGAGACAAGGTGGGGAGAGTGGCAGGAGACCCCATCCCTGAACTAACTTGGACTCTGGGTCTGGAAACACAAGTGTAAATCCCACCTATTTGTTCTAGGAGGGCATGGCTGATGAAGGAGGCCCTGGTAGGAAGGAGCCTCCATGGGCCCTCCAGTCAGCAATTCTGGGCTCTGCTGGGTTCCATGCTCTTGTTGGGGGGTGAGGCAGCTGTGGAGCTCACTCTGGCCATGGGTAGTGGGCTGAGAGCTCATTCATTCATCAGAGAAGGGGAATTCACTTTGCTCTCAGAACCTATCTACAGAGCACTTAGCTGGGAAGGGAATTTGGACTCCTGTTGCCCCCCTTTTGACCCTTCCTTTGCTTCTCCTTTACCCTGACCTTTTCCCTGCTCAGGTGTTATCAGCTTCATTGTCATCCTGGTGGTTGTGGTGATCGTCTTAGTCAGTGTGGTCAGTCTAAGGTTTAAGTGTCGGAAGAACAAAGAGTCTGAAGGTACATCCTTGCCACTCAGGGCCCCCTTTGCCCCTCTTTAAAGACTAAGAGCTGCATTTTGGGACTGGAGTGTAGGAAAAGCATGGCACATAAGCACCACTGATGAGATGGGAGGGTAGTCCACTTGGGTGGGCTTTGAGGGACAGGTTGGTCTTCTGAGTTATAGCATGTGACCCCCAATCTGTGCCTTTGACTATTTTACAGATCCCCAGAAGCCTGGGAGTTCGGGGCTATCTGAAAGGTAAGACTGTCAGAGGTATAAGGGAGGAATCATCTATCTGACCTCTCAGTCCACCACTCCAAGAGAGAACTGAAGCTTCCTGGGGTGCCTGGGTGATTCAGGCATTTGGGCATCCAGCTCTGGATTTCAGCTCAGGTCATGGTCATGAGATCAAGCCCAGTGTCAGGCTCTGCATTCAGTGTGGAGCTGGCTTGAGATTCTCTCTCTCTCCCTCTCCTTCTGCCCCTCCCCCTGCTCTCTCTCTCTCTCTCTAACATAAATAAATGAAATCCAAAAAAAAAAAAAAAAAAGAAAGAAAGAAAGAAAAAGAACTGATACTTCCTGCCTTCTACATGGATATTCACACAAGCATGCATGGAATATTGACAGCCACCATTGAGGCCAAGGCAAGGGATGGGCAGGACAGGAGTGATGCTAAAATGAAACAATCAGGAGACAGGAGATGAACTGGAACTCTTCAGCCTAAGGGCTAAGCCTCTATAACCCCCTCATGAAAAGTGTAGGAATTCAGATTCTAATATAATTCAGATTATTTTATAGATAGATAGATAGATAGATTCTATATAGATAGATTCTATATCTATATATAACTATATATATAGAATACATATATTCTAATATGTAATTCAGATTCTAATAATCTTTTTTTTTAAGATTTTATTGATTAATTTTAAAGAAAGAAAGAGAGGAGGGGATAAGGGCAGAGGAAGAGGGAGAGAGAAACATAAGCAGACTCTGCACTAAGCGCAGAGCCCAACGTGGGGCCGGATCTTGTGACCCTGAGATCACGACCTGAGCTGAAACCAAGAGTCAGACGCTTAACCAACTGAGCCACCCAGGTGCCTCTCTAGATACCCCTTTAAATAAGAAAACACTTATTTAGGAACATCTTGTACATGCCAGGCACTATGGTAGATATTTTCTAATATTATCTCAAACTCTTACAGCAATTCTTCAAGGCAGATATACTGCATTCTGTACATTTGAAAAAATTGAGACTTGGAGACATTGTAACTTGGTCAAGATCACACGAGTAGCAAGTAGTAAAACTAAGATTTAGATACAAGTTTTTTGGGTTTCCAAGCACATGCCCATTTCATTAGGGCCCATCACCAAAATACAGGTTTATCAAAACAAAGGTCGAAGTTCCAACACGTGACCCCACGGTTCCCCGACCACCCCAGTGCACTCCTCCATGTTACAACCCATGTTCCTTTCCTACCCCTAGCTGCTCCACAGCCAATGGAGAGAAAGACAGCATCACCCTGATCTCCATGAAGAATATCAACATGAATAACAGCAAAGGATACCCCACAGCAGAGAAGGTACATTTTTCCTGGTTCCTTCCTCCCTTCTCTCTCCTTCTCTTACCTTCAGGTTCTAGTTCCTTAGCCAGAAAGGAGATACGTCCAAAGACGCAGGCTCTGCTCTCCTCTTCCCTAGCCCACCACTCCTGAGAAGTTCACGCTTTCTCACGATGTATTTATTTTGCAGGTTCTTTAGAAGCAATGTCGGGTCCCCATGGGTCCAAGGACGATGAAGCTGCCCCATGACTATAAAGAGGAAGGCGATGGGAGTGCTAGAGGCATGAATCACATATAAATTATTTTATTATTTCACACTTACTCCAAGATCTAAAGGACACCAGCACTCCTCCAGATCTAGGAGTAAGCTGCCAGGATGAGAGACTCTTTCCCATATGGGCAGCCACTCTGGAAATACAGCCTGCTCCTCCCACCCACTCACCGTCAAAGGAAGGGGGAGTCTGGAGGGCAAGGGCAAGGAAAATGACAAAGTGGAGTGGCCCTTGCTACTTTGCATTAAAATTATTTTCTGGCCAACAGTCTAATTTCTTTTAAGGTCTGTGCTCTTGTGCAGGTTTATTAACGGTGCTCTAGCAGCTGTGATATCTCCTTTCCTGGGCAAGCACAGATCCAAGCTTCTGCCCCTGTAGAGAGCTCTCTGAGCAACCTGCGAGGTAGACTGAACATTCTGTCAGGTCTGCCTCAGTTCCTCTGGATCATTAAGGAGGAATGAGGTCCTGAGGGACTAATTACTTCAAGAGAGGAGAGAGAAAGGGAGCTGTAAACTCTCTAGGTGCACACACCTAGAGAAACTAAAGAATGAGAACACGAGAGGCACAATGCATTCTGACTAGGGAAGCCCAGTGGGGAGGGCAGATGTCCTCTGCCTGCCCCAGGGCAGACATGCCTCACTTTGGTCCTAGCTATGGGAATAACACTGGGGAGGTCTGGAACAGGGATAAGTCTGTGACTTCATAAGCCAAAACCCACCCCCTTTACCCTGTACAGCTATAATCTTTGTGTCCTAGAAAGCGAATAAAGGGTGACAAACCCTCTAAAGTCTTTTAAAGGGAAGGAGGAAAAGCAGTTACCCATTTTCTTAGAACTCTCCACCATGGAACTGGTTTGGAAATTAATTTTGGTTGGGGGACATTCAGTGGGAGAGTCACCTGCATGTGTCTAAACAGAGGGGTTAACTTTATAAATACATGCTAGTTGGTAGTCCAGATTACAAGATTACCCATTCTGAACAATGTGCGACAATACGCCATTTGCTTCTGGATCTAGACGATGCGAGGTGAGATGAGAGAGAAAGCCTGGAAAAAGCTTCACCCTCTCTGTTCTGTTGCAACTATTTAAGCAGACTGAAGAAACCTACTGGGTTCTAAAATCTTCTAGGACAAGGCTTGAAATCGAGTCACTTCTATAGCTCCAGTTTGGTACATGGTACGCAGCCCATTGAAGGTCATAAAAACTGGCTTTCAAGGGCAGGAAATGTGGTCACAGGCTGAACTTTGCAGCTGGGCAAAATCACTCCCCAGCTCCCAGACTGTTTTCTTACTTTTAAAGCAAGGTGGCTGGACTACTTGGCTTTCATTACCTCTTCTGGTTCTTTTTTTTTTTTTTTTATGATTTTATTTATTTATTTGAAAGAGAGGAGAGAATGAGAGAGAGAGTGCATGAGAGGGGGAAGGTGAGAGAGAGAGGTAGACCCCCTGCTGAGCAGGGGGCCCGATGTGAGACTTGATCAAGGGACTCCAGGATCATGACCTGAGCTGAGGGCAGTTGCTCAACCAACTGAGCCACCCAGGCGCCCCTTTTCTGGTTCTTATATTCTGTAGTTCTATAAACTTTAGACGTAAGAAAAAATGAACACCATCTTTTGAGTAGAGATCACTCCGGGTGGAAGCCAGAGACAAGTCTTAGGTGAGTCTGACAAGCCTATATTCTCCAGACTTAAGATTTCCCTGTGTCTTTTTTTTTTTCTTTTTAAAATTTATTTGACAGAGATATAGAGGGCACAAGTAGGCAGAACGGCAGGCAGAGAGAGAGGGAGAGGGAGAAGCAGGCTTCCAACTGAGCAGGGAGCCTGATGCGGGGTTGGGTCCCACGACCCTGGGATCATGACTAGAGCTGAAGGCAGCCACTTAACTGACTGAGCAACCCAGGTGCCCAAGATTTCCCTGTGTCTTAAGGGAAGAATGACCCTTATCTGACCCTTGGTGGGTACTTGGTAGGTAAAGTGGAAGAGCAAATGTGGAGACACGTGGGAAGCAGAAGTACTAGTTGGCAATCGCAGTAGACAATGTGGAGTATCACCACCCAGGTCCCACTTCAAGGTCAACGCAAGTGTCCTCAGTTGTTATAGAGTGCTGGCTGCTAAAATTGAAAAAAAAAAAAAAAAGAGGAGCATTGGCTGCTGAGGGCTCACAGCTGCTTGATGACTGGTTGATGGGGGTGGGATAAAGACCTGGAACTCTTGCCTTGATTTCCCCAACCCTGTCCCATCCCACTTCCCTTACCCCTCACAGCTCTTGTTCCTAGGAGCATTCACCAATAAACCTTCAGCATGCAAATCTCCAAGTCTCAGAGTCTATTTCCAACCTATGACAGCAATGATACAGCATTTTTTTTTAAATGTTATTTATTTATTTATTTATTTGAGAGAAAGAGTGCAAGCACGAGTGGGGTGGAGGGACAGAGGGAAAGGGAGAAGCTGGATCCCAGGACCCCGGGATCATGACCTGAGTCAAAGGTCATTGCTTAACTGTCTGAGCCACCCAGGCGCCCCTAAAATACTACAACATTTTAAAAAATAACTCAGATATATTTATTAAAGCCACACTGCAAAAAATGCCTGACTTCCTAACCAGTTCCGGCACACACAAAAATCCATCACTGGGATAGAACTCTCCAGGTGACATAACAATGTCTACAAGTACTGGATTCTGTTTGAATTGTTCTTGTTATTCTGGCTGCTATGGGCACTTCAATCAGCTGCTAATCATACTGGACTAATTAGGTCAAGAACCTGAGGTTTGCTGTAGATAACCCAGTTGATATCTCCATTCTAAGGCCACAAGCATCCCCCTGACTCTGGACAATGTCCTGCAGATATGAGCTGTTAGTCATAAGGTATTTATATGTGGGGGAAATGGTGTGAACTGGTATGACTATGAGGTTGGATGGCTTTTACCCAGAAACCGACATTGTAGTTCTTCAGTAGCAATGTTGATTTTCCTGTTGTTAAATAGCTCTCTTTTGAGAAGGGGTCAAGGATGAATTCACTTAATTCTCTAGGAAACTGCATTAGAAGGAGTTCTGCTAGAGGATCCTACTATTTATGCAAATACAAGAACCCACCTCTGATAGGAAATCCGAGTGCAGCCTTCTGCAGCCCCGGCAACTTCCCTGAGACAGTACCTCTTTTCCTTGATGTCTAGACAACAGGATGGCGGCCATTTACATGACAGCTTCCTCCTTATTTTAACACAGGTGGTGGGGTGGGGTAGTTACTATAGAATGTCCTTCTTTTGCTTCTTCCCCCATCTTATGGGAGGCTAACCAACAACCCAGCTCAGGCACACAGGCCCAGTTGGACAGAAGGAACATTTACTGAGTACCTTTCTTCCAGGGATAGATGGGGCAGCATCTCAATCATATGGGCACAAGGCAAACCTCAGGATCACTAGCAAAAATTCACTACAGTTCAACAAATTTTTTTTTTTAAAGATTTTATTTATTTATTTGACAGACAGAAATCACAAGTAGGCGGAGAGGCAGGCAGAGAGAGAGAAGAGGAAGCAGGCTCCCCGCTGAGCAAAGAGCCCGATGTGGGGCTCGATCCCAGGTCCTGGGATCACGACCTGAGCTGAAGGCAGAGGCTTCAACCCACTGAGCCACCCAGGCGCCCCTCAACAAATATTTCTAAAAGTAGAGAAAACTGATGGAAATCTGAGGCCAGCTCTCAGTAAAATGGTTTAGTAGATGAAGGATCATTGCAGGCCCCTTGGCCTAGTACATGCACATCATTTCCTAAAGTCAGGCTAGTACTAATCAATTCTATTTGAATCTGTTGGAAAACATTGTGTGGCTCTGCTCAACAGTCTCCTTCTGAATTTGTAGACGTTCTTTATCACGTCTTTGAACTTCTTTCTACACCTACCTCCTCCTCCTTGAGATCCCAAGTTCTCTTCCCTTATTTCCTTCCCAGTTGCTTCCTGACCCCTCCTGCTGGTTATTTTCTCCAGGCACCTCCATCCTGAACCTTCTGAGCCCACAGCTTCCTCTTTTACCGAACACAGAGACTGTGTTTCACAGTCGGGATTATTTTGTTGAGTGGTTGGTGTGCTTAACCCAAAACTGGCACAGAAGTGTTCTAAATGTTGAGGTTTGGAGTTCTAAGTTAGTCCTAGTGCTAGAGTCATAGAAACATTCATCTAGTAGTGTTAATTGAGGTGTAAATGAGCTAAAGGTTACATTTGCTGGCATATCTGACAAGGTTGCCATGCTGAGCCATTTTTTACTGACCTAGGAGGAAATGAGTCTTCTAGAAAAAAAGTGGAGAGTGAGGTTTCAGAGGACAATGGAAAAAGTTGTTGAGGTCCCAGACATTTCCAAAAGTCTGCAGCGTCCCAAATCTTGTTCAGCATTCTTGAACCTCGAATCTACTCCTAAGTAGCCCCATAAGTCATAGTAGCTCTTCTCAATCCAGTTTCTCCCTACAGTGCTCTAGCCCAGCCTCCCTGCCATTCTCAACCAGATAGTTCTCACTTCCCAGCCCTCTGACAGCTTTGAGTACCTCCAGACCTTAGCCCTGTGCCCCTAAACCCTAAGGCATACCTCACCTTCCCTTGTCCATATTTTAAAGCAGTCTGTCCAATTTCCCAAAACCAAATAAACTTCCTTCTTATGTTTAATCACCTAATGTATATCCCTGATCAGGTCCCTTGTCTGCAAAGGACAGGTGGCTTCTTTAGGACCCATCCTTCTGTGAGCACACTGGCGCTCACATCCTAGGGCCACTCCTGACTGTAGGGTAGAACTGCTAGACTGGAAGATTCTACCCTATCAATTGTGTCTCTGGCTAATCATCTCCCAGTCCCACCCCCAAATGCCTAAGTAGCTGCTGCTTGGTTTCAGAGTTGGCATACTGATGTGGTCTTCCTGGGTAAGAGCTCAATGAATTCCAAGAAATTTTTTGTCTTGAAATGAATTGATCATTTCTCACTTTTGAAACCTGATCTTTAGCCATCCCAATTCACCTGCAGGCACAAGTCAGTAAGGACACAATGAGAATTGCTTTTTTTCTTTGTTAGGCTCCATGAAGACCTGAGTGGGAAAACGCAGGCATATTTCACTTCCCTTTTACTAATTTCATAGGGCCTTCAGAAAACAAGGGAATGGGTCATGGAAACGAGTGCGGTGGAACAGAAAAGTCTCAGATGTGCCCTGAAGTGGGATGGGATGGATGAAGAATAAAGAACAGCAAAGATAGGGACTTTAATGCCGGCTCCAACGCCTGCCCCTTTCTTCTTTCTCTATCTCTGAAGCCTTGAGGTCCCTCTAACGAAGCTGTGCCAGAGTAAATGCTCGAAGAGGGCATACTCAGACTGCCCTCTAAGTACATAAATCTATCTCCTTTTTCTGTTTACTTGGTTCTTAAAGTTTTGGTTCCCAAAACCCGTCTCTCTATCTCCAGGACCTAACATACGCTTTACACAGAACGGGCATTAGCTTATATTTTAAAAGGACACTCTTGAGATGAATAGTCACACTGTGACCCTCTAGACTTAGTTTGCAAAACCTTTCCCAGGCAGGATCTCATCGTGCCTCCCTAAATGCCCCTAGTGTTAGGTGAGGCCGTAGCCACTATCCCCACTCTACAGTTGAGGAAAAGTGTGGTCGGCAGTCGCCCAGCAGTCAACCAACAGCATCAAACCTCCACAGACCTCGCTTCTAAGGGCGGAGCCCCAGAAGCAGCTTAAACTCTCACCGCCCCTCGCGCAGAGCCTGCCGGGAGTTGTAGTCCAATGTCCCGCGGCTCCGGTGAGTTGGACTACAATGACCAGCATGCCCCGCGCTTCTTGCCCCTTCCCTTTCAGCCTCGGGCGCTGGGGAGGCTCTGCAGACCTGCTGATTGGGAACCGATATGGCAGCGACTCTAGGCAGCGGGGAGCGCTGGACCGAAGGTATCAGGTCTTTGCCGGAGGGTGGGACAGGGCAGAGTTGAGGGAGGGATGGGGCTCCTTGAGATTACGGAGGGCTGAGACCCTGGGCCTGAGGTGAAGGATGGAGGCCTATGAAGAGATGCTGAGCCTGAGTAGGGTTCCGAATTAGGTGGGAGACCGGCAGGGCAGGGCCCGGGATCTGGAAGTCAGGAGCGCTGGCTCAAGCAAAGAACCGGCCAGGAGCCCAGAGTCACCCGTGATGACTTTTTTGCCTCCGGCCCCCAGCCCGGCCCCGCCTCGGCCCTTGCCGAGCTTAGGACCCGCGCTGCTCAGGCCCCGCCTGTGCCAGGGTGGCTGGGTCAGCGGAGTGATGCGGATTCCTGCAGTTTGCTTTCCCAGCCCCTATGCTCGCTCCTCCCAAATAGGCCGCCGCTCTAGGTCTCTCTTTGGTGCTGTTACTGCAGCCTGCACCAAGACCGATAGGCCGGTCTTTGCCATCCTGTAGTCAAGCAAAGAGTATTGATTCAATCCCTATTATGTACCCTGCATTATGCTGATCATGCAGCAGGGATCTGACAGACATGGTCCCCTATCACAAAACTCTCAGTCCATTGAGGGAGTTCGACAGGTAAACAGACAATTACGAAACAGAGCCACTAAGTCCTGAGCTACACAGCAGGGTCTTAGGTTTGGGAAGCACACTGACAGCCTGGTGTCAGAGGAGGCATCTGGAAGAAAGTGTGACATATGAAGAGATGAAGAATGCCTTGGAGTTAGGCTGACTTAGAGGAAGAACGTTGCAAGCAGAGGGAACAGCATGTGCAAAGGCACAGAGAAAAAAGAAAGCATGGCTGATCTGAAAAGCATTTGGTGTGGCTAGAGCATAGGCTGCAAAACAAAAGAGCTTGTGGTGAGAGAGGAGGCTGCAGAGGCAGATGGGCCTATGATAAGAAATTTGGACAAAAGCAGTGGGTAGGGGCACCTAGATAGCTCAGTCAGTTAAGCGGCTGTCTTCTGCTCGGGTCATGATCCCAAGGTCCTAGGATTAAGACCCGCATCAGGCTCCCTGCTTAGGGGGGAGCCTGCTTCTCCCTCTCCCTCTGCCTGCCACTCTGCTGCCTACTTGTGCTCTCTCTCCATCTCGCTATCAAATAAATAAATAAAATCTTTAAAAAAATAAAAAGAAGCAGCAGCAGTCGGTAGCCACTAGGTATTTTAGGCAGGAGAGAGACATTTCTAAAGCCTTTCCCGGATCCTCCAGACAGGACCTGAGTCCTCTGCCTTCTTTGACTGGATTGCTATGGCCTTCTTAACATTCTCCACGTGTTATGATGAATTGAATCTTCTCCCTTAAGCTATAATCTCTTTGTGGTCAGAAGTAGGTCTTATCCATACATTTCCTTGCTCCATCTAGCCAAGTGTCTTGTTCTATAACTGCTAATTTAAAAGAACCACCCCTACTTTAAATCTTAGGTGGGAGGCATGGCAACAAAAACAACAAATTATTTATGAGCCATGTCACTTCTGACTGTGGATCACAGAAAAATAGGCTTTCCCCTGTACTGCGCTAAAGGTAGACGCCTCTTGAAAGACAAGTTTTGGGGGCCTCTTAAGCCCCTTTTCTGGCTCTGATTCAGAATTATTTGCTGAATGACCACTGTAGATATGGTGTAAATTATTATGCTTTGCGTTTCTAGCATTATAAGTTTTCATGGTTGCCTCCGTATTTACTACATTGTTTTCTCAAGGGAGATGTTCGTTCAGTTTTATGTGGATGCTTAAAAGTCAGGACGATGTCAGTAGTTTGGCCCTCATACTCTTGGCCCCAAGCAGCCTCCCTGATATCGAGGGCAGATAGCAAAGCTGATTGCAGATCAGACAGAGGCCTAATGGGGGGCTGTTGCTTTGCAGCTTACATTGATGCAGTTAGAAGAAACAAATACCCAGAAGATAGACCTCCTGAAAGTCATGACCCTTGTGGGTGCTGTAACTGCATGAAAGTGCAAAAGGAAAAGAAGTCTGAGCATGAGTGGAATCCAACCCGACAGGGTGAGGGGAGTGCCACTTACACTGAGGAACAGCTGCTTGGGGTACAAAGGTGAGTCTGTGGTGGGATTCAGTGAGTGATATTAACGTAGAGTTCCTAGCAGAATGTGTTACATAAGCATTGACTGCTACTATACTTTTATTATTATTATGGAAGCACAATAGCTTCTTGGCTGCAGAGGCAAGCCTCCCTCGGTGGAAGTGGAGTCTCGGGGTATAATCTGAGGTAACTTCTCTGCTTCTGTGTAGAAAAGGCAGGGAAAACCAACTAGATGAAACAGACATCTATACAACAGTCTAGCCAACAACAGCAGAGTACACATTCTTCTCAAATACACAAGAAGCGTTTTCCAGGGTAGATCAGATGTCAGGCCGCAAAAGAAGTGTCAATAAATTTAAAAGGATTAAAATCATACAGTGTGTGTCCTCTGATATCAACAACAGAAGCAAATTTAGGAAATTCACAAATACGTGAAAATTAAACATTATATTCCTAAAATAACAAATAGGTCATAGAAGAAATGTTAAGCAAAATTACAAAATACTTTGAGATGACTGAAAATGAAAACACAACATAGAAAAATGTGTAGGATACAGCTAAAGCAAAGCTTAGAAGGACATCTAGAGCTATAAACGTTATATATGTATATTTTGTTTGTTTGTTTTGTTTTAAATCTCAGATCAGTAACCCAATCTTCCACCTTCACGAACTAGAAAAAGAAGAGCAAAAAGAGTACACTAAATCCAAGCAAGCAGAATGAAGGAAATAATATAGAGTGGAAATAAATGAAATAGAGGTTAGAAAAACAAGAGAAAATCAACAAAAGCAAAAATTGGCTTTTTGAAAATGTCGACAAAATTAACAAACCTTTAACTAGGCTAACCAAGAAAGAGAGAACACTCAAATAACTAAAATCAGGAATAAAAGAGGGACATCACTACCAATCTTACGATGATAATAAAGATTTTAAAAGGATACTATGAACAATTGTACACCAACAAATTAGATAACCTAGATGAAACAAATTTTTTTTGAAAGATTTTATTTATTTATCCGACAAACAGAGATCACAAATAGGCAGAGAGGCAGGCAGAGAGAGAGGAAGGGAAGCAGGCTCCCTGCCGAGCAGAGAGCCCGATGCAGGGCTCGATCTCAGAACCCTGGGATCATGACCTGAGCCAAAAGCTGAGGCTCTAACCCCCTGAGCCACCCAGACGCCCCGAAACAAACAAATTTGTAGAAAGGTACAAACTAGGAAATCATATGGACCTACTACAAATACAGAGATTGAATTCATAATAAAAAAAATTTCACCCTGTGACCCAGCAATTGCACTACTAGGTATGTACCCAGAGGATACAAACGTAGTGATCTGAAGGGGCACGTGCATCCTAATGTTTATAGCAGCAATGTCCACAATAACAAAACTATGGAAAGAGTGCAGATGTTCATCGACAGATGAACGGATAAAGATGATGTGATGGTAATACCTACACATGATGGAATATAACTCAGACATTAAAAAAATGATATCTTGCTATTTACAATGATGTGGATGGAACTAGAGGGTATTATGCTAAGCAAAGTAAGTCAGAGAAAGACAATTATCATACGATTTCACTCATATGTGGAATTAAGAAACAAAACAGAGGGTCATAGGGGAAGGGAGGGAAAAATAAAATAAGACAAAATCAGAGAGGGAGACAAACCATAAGAGACTTTTAACTGTAGGAAGCAAACTGAGGGTTACTGGAGGAAGAGTGGGGTGGGCATTAAGGAGGGTACATGATGTAATGAGTACTGGGTGTTATATACAAATGATAAGTCACTGACATCTACCTCTGAAACTAATAATACACTGTATGTTAATTAATTGAATTTAAATAAAATAAAAATTTTATTTTTTATAATAAAATAAATTTTTTTTAAAGATTTTATTTACTCACCCGACAGACAGAGATCACAAGTAGGCAGAGAGGCAGGCAGAGAGAGGGGGAAGCAGGCTCCCTGCCGAGCAGAGAGCCCATATGGGGCTCGATCCCAGGACCCCGGGATCATGACCCGAGCCGAAGGCAGAGGCTTTAACCCACAGAGCCACCCAGGCGCCCCTAAAATAAAATTTTTTAAAAAAATTTTTCATAAAGAAAAACCTAGGCCCAGAAAACTTCACTGGTAAATTCTACCAAACATTTGAAGAATTAACTAATCCTTCATAAACTCTTACAAAATATGCAAGAGAGGGGAGCACTTCCCAACTCATTCTACGGGGCCAACATTACCCTGTGACTAAAACTAGACAAAAACATAAGAAAAATAAACTATCAATCAATATCCCTTTTGGATATAGATTCTAGCAACATGTAAAAACATATAAAAAGGATTCTATACCTTGGAGCACCTGGATGGCTCAGTTGGTTAAGCATCTGAGTCTTGGTTTCCGCTCAGGTCATGATCTTGGGTCCATGAGATGGAGCCCTGCATCTGGCTCTGTGCTCACTGGGGAGTCTGCTGCTCTCCTTCTCCCTCTGTCACTCCCCCCAATTATGTGCCCTCTTTCTCTCTCCTCTCTCTCTCAAATAAAAAATAAATAAATAAATCTTTTTAAAAAAGATCATATACCAAGTGGTATTTATCCCAGGAATGCAAGGTTGTTTAACACATGAAAATTAATCAGTGTGATACACCATATTAATAGAATAAAGGACAAGACCACATGATCATTTAAATAGGTGCAGAAAAAGCATTTGACAAAATCCAACACTTTCATGATAACAATACTCAACAGAATAGGAGTAGAAGAGAACCTCAACTGATAAAGGCTATCTATTAAAAAGCCCACGGCTAACGTCATCATACTTAATGGTGAACAACTGGATGCTTTCCAAGATCAAGAAAAAGACAAGTATGTTCACTCTAGCCACTTCTATTTACCATTGTACTACAGGTTCAAGCCAGGGCATTTAGGCAAGAAAAAGAAATACAGAAGTCATCCAGATTGGGGGCACCTGGGTGAGTCAGTCAGTTGAGCTTCAGACTCTTGGTTTCGGCTCAGGTTGTGATCTCAGGGTCTTGAGATTAGCTCCACGTTCTGGCTCTGCACTCAGCAGGGAGTCTGCCTGAGATTCTCTCCCTCTCTTTTTGTCCCTCCCCATGCTTGTGTGTGTGCACATGCTCTCTCTGTCTCTAAAATAAATAAGTAAATCCTTTAAAAAAAGAGGAAAAATTTTAAAGATGTCATCCAGATTGGAAAGAAGTAAAACTGTATTCATAGAAGATATGATATAATATAAAAAATCCTAAAGAATAGAGATGCCTGGGTGGCTCAGTCGGTTAAGTGTCTGCCTTCTGCTTGGGTTGTTATCCCCCAGTCCTGGGATCAAGCCCCAGGACAGTCTCCCTGCTTAGCAGGGAGTCTGCTTCTCCGTCTGTCTGCCCCTCCTCCCGGACTTGTGCCCTCTCTCTCTCAAATAAATAAATAAAATTTTTATTTAAAAAAAAAAAAAGAAAATTCTAAGACACCCACACTGTTAGAATTAATAAATGAGGGGCACCTGGTGGCTCAGTTGGTTGGGCATCTGACTTCAGCTCAGGTCATGATCCCAGGGTCCTGGAATCAAGCCCCTGAATCACGCTCTCTGCTCAGAGGTGGGTCTGCTTCTCCCTCAGCCTATTGCCACTTGTGTTCATTCTCTCTCTCTCAAATGAATAAATAAAATCTTAAAAAAAAAAAAGAACTGATAAATGACCTCAACAATGTTGTAAAATATAAGATCAGTATACAAAAATCACTGTTTTTCTGTACCCTAGCAATGAACAATCCAAAAATGGAAAAGAAAACAATTTTAATTTATAACACCATCAAAAAAGTATAAAATGCCTGAGAATACATTTAACAAGAGAAGTGTAAGATGTACACTGAAACTACAAAACTTCATTTAAGGAAATTAAAGAAGGTCTAAATAAATGGGAAGATTGCCTGTGTTCTTGGAGCTAAATATTGGAAAGGATTATTTTATTAAGGCTTAATATTGGAAATGGTGGTAATATTACTCAAATCGATCAATAGATTTCACATATCCCTATCAAATCCCTCACTGCCTTTTTTGCAGAAACTGACAAGCCGATCCTAAAATTCATATAGTAATACAAGGGACCCAGAATAGCCAGAACAGTCTTGAAAAAGAACAAAGTTGGAGGACTCACATTTCCAATTTGAAAGCTTATTACAAAGCTATGTTATGAAGACAGTGTGGACTGGTATAGGATAGTCATGTAGATCAATGGAATGGACTTGAGAGTCCACAAGTAAGCCTTTATATTTATGGTCAATTGATTTTTTTTTTTTTAAGTTAAAGTGGGATTCAAATCCTGTTGTTTGTTTGTTTGTTTGTTTTAAGATTTTTGTTTATTTATTTGACAGAGATCACAAGTAGCCAGAGAGGCAGGCAAAGAGAGAGGAAGGGAAGCAGGCTCCCTGCTGAGCAGAGAGCCCGATGTGGGGCTCCATCCCAGGACTCTGGGATCATGACCTGAGCCGAAGGCAGAGGCTTTAACCCACTGAGCCACCCAGGCACCCCTCAATTGATTTTTTTTAATGTAGGCTCCACACCCAGCAGGGAGCCCAACCTGGGGCTTGAACTCATGACCCTAAGATCATGTCCTGAGCCAAAACTAAGAGTCAGGCACTTAACAGACTGAGCCACCCATGTGTCCCAGGTGTCTGTCTCTTGATCTTGGCTCAGGTCTTGATCTTAGGGTCCTGAGATCAAGCCTGGCTTTGGGCTCCACACTCAGTATGGAGTCTGTTTCTCTTCCTCTCTCTCTCTCCCCATCCCTCTCTGCTGCCCCTCCCCCACCTCAAATAAATAAAATCTAAAAAAAATAAAAAGAGTCAGATATCCACCAACCAAGTCACCCAGACACCCCCAGTCAACTGATTTTTCTTTGACAAGAGTGCCAAGGCTGGGGTGCCTAGCTGGCTCAGTTGTTGGACCATGAAACTCTTTATCTCAGGGTCATGAGTTCAAGCCCTACATTGGGTGTAGAGCTTACTTTGAAAGAAAAAAAAGAGTGCCAAGATGATTTAATAAGGGAAAGAATTGTCTTTTTTTTTTTTTTTAAAGATTTTATTTATTTATTTGACAGAGATCACAAGTAGGCAGAGAGGCAGGCAGAGAGAGAGGAAGGGAAGCAGGCTCCCCGCCAAGCAGAGAGCCTGATGTAGAGCTCAATCCTGGGACCCTGGGATCATGACCTGAGCCGAAGGCAGAGGCTTTAACCCACTGAGCCACCCAGGCGCCCCCCACCTTTTTTTTAAAGATTTTATTTATTAAGAATTGTCTTTAATAAATATGTTGGGACAACTGGATATCCACATGCAAAACAATGCAGTTGAACTCCTTTCTCACACAAACACAAAAGTTAACTCAAAGACCTAATGTAAGGCCTAAATGTAAGAGCTACAACTATAAAACTCTTAGAAGAAAACATAAATTTACGTCTTCATGACATGACACCCAGAGTACAAATGACAAAAGAAAAAAATGGGTCAACTGGATTTTGTGAAAATTTAAAGCTTTTGTACTCAAAAGATACCATCAAGAAAGTGAAAAATCGATCCACAGTACAGGAGAAAATGTTTTTAAATTATGTATCTGATAAGGGACTTATATCTAGAACATATAAAGTACTCTTACAACTCAACAATAAAAAGACAACCCAATTGAGCAATGGGCAAAGGATCTGATAGGCATTCCTCCAAAGAATATATACAAATGGCTCTTAAAAAAAAAAAATCTACAAATGGCCAATAAACACATGAAAAGTTGCTCAGTATCATGAGTCATTAGGGAAATACAAACTGAAGCCACAATGAGATACCACACCACCTCACACCCACTAGGGTGGCAATAAAAAAAAAAAAATGGACAATAGCAAGTGTTAGTAAGAATATAGAGAAATGGAACCCTTATATATTGCTTGTAGGAATGGAAAACAGTGTGGCCAGTTTGGAAAATAGAAGGCCAGTTCCTCAGAAGATTAAACATAGCACAAGACATAGCAATCCACTCCCAGGTATATAACCAAGAGAACATACTTCCACACAAAGACTTGTCTATGAGTGTTTGTACAGAATTATCCATAATAACTCCCAAATGGAAACAACCTGCATGTCCATGAACTGATGAATGGATAAACAAAATGGGGAATATCCATACAATGAATACTTCTTGGTAATAAAAGGAATGAAGTACTGATACATGCTATAACATGAATGAACCTTGAATATTATGCTAGTCAAAGAAGCCAGACACAAAAGTCCACATATTCTATAATTCCTTTTATGTGAAATGTCCAGAATGGCAAATTTATAGAGACAGAAATTACATTATTGGTTGCCAGGGGTTGGGAAGTAAAATGAGGAATGACTGCCAATAAGTAGGGGTTTCTTTCTGGGGTAATGAGGATGTTCTGGAATTAGATAGTGATGATGGTGTACAAATCTGAATATACTTTTTAAAAAATCAATGAATTGTGCCTTTTAAGAGTGAACTTTGTGAATTGTAGCTCAAAAAAACTGTTACTCAACAAATAACAAATTTCTACAAAAGAGAGAAAGGGGCAGAGGAGTATCTGCCATGGAAGCAGGGATTGGAAACTGGGCTGAGGAGCCAAAGGATACCCATGGGCAGCTCTTGGGGAAGGAGCATGACTGACATTTCAGACCCTGCTTTATAGTCCAGCCTGTGTTACTGAACTCTTGAGCAAGATGCTGGGCCTCTCTCTGTCTGACTGGATTGTGTAGTTGCAAAAGACTGGAGATATTCTCTAAGTGCCTATCAGTAGAGGATAGATATAATCCATAAAATGCAGTAAGTGTAATCCATAAAAGCAGTGCAGCTTTTGAAAAGAATGACATAGATATGTAATAGCCAGTATTTATGGGCTGTCAAATGCTATCAAGTACCTTGATGAATACTTCATTTAAATGATAACAGCTTGTGAAATATAGTTGAAATTGTTATCCCATTTCAGAAGATAACACTAAGTCACAGAGCTTAAGTACACAGCAAGATAAGATCCCAGCCAAGGCATTTTGACCCCAGAGTTCATGCTCTAGTACAACATTTCTCAGAGTGTAGCTTAGGAACCCCAAAAACCTTGGGAGTCTGTGAGTTTAAAACAATTTTGATAATAGTACAAACACAGGGGTACCTGGGTGGCTCAATGGGTTAAGCCTCTGCCTTCGGCTCAGGTCATGATCTCAGGGTCCTGGGATTGAGCCCCGCATCAGGCTCTCTGCTCAGCGGTGAGCCTGCTTCCTCCTCTCTCTGCCTGCCTCTCTGCCTACTTGTGATCTCTCTCTCTTTCTGTCAAATAAATAAATAAAATCTTTAAAAAAATTTAAAAAAAAGTACAAACACATTATTTGCCTTTTTCACTCTCATTCTCTCATGATTGTACAGTGGAATTATTGAGAGTCTACCTGATATGTAGTTATATCGTCACTCTGTTTTAAAATTTCTTGTTTTCCTTTCTAGTATGGTAAATATTGATAGATATAATTCACATGAACAAAACTCTTCTGGGGACTCAAGTAATTTTTAAGAGTATAAGAAACTTATGAGATCACAAAGTCCAGAACTGCCATTCTAGTCTAAACTATTGTCCCGTACTCGTCTCTGTATGTTACCAATCCATCTCTAAGAAACACTTTTGGTTTAAAAAAAGGGATGGGGGTGGGGGCGCCTGGGTGGCTCAGTGGGTTAAAGCCTCTGCCTTCCGCTCAGGTCATGATCCCAGGGTCCTGGGATTGAGCCCCGCATCAGGCTCTCTGCTCAGCGGGGAGCCTGCTTCCCTTCCTCTCTCTGCCTGCCTCTCTGCCTACTTGTGATCTCTGTCAAATAAATCAATAAATAAATCTTAAAAAAAAAAAAAGGGATGGGGAATGTATAAAGATGATTACAGTATGTTTATATTTAGGCAAAAAAGTAAAGGGAGAGGTGTCTATACATACACACACAATTCATAGAAAACTTCTCACATGGTTGTCCTTAGGATGGGAGATTGGTGAGCAGGGAATAGGGAAGCAGGAAGTTTTTTTGCTGCATATAGTTTAGTACTGTTGGATATTTTTCTTCTACCACATGTGTATATATTAACTTTTTAAAACTAAGTTTTGAGGGGTGCCTGGGTGGCTCAGTGGGTTAAAGCCTCTACCGTCAGCTCAGGTCATGATCCTGGGGTCCTGGGATCGAGCCCCACATCGGGCTCTCTGCTCCGTGGGGAGCCTGCTTCCTCCCCTCTCTCTCTCTGTCAGATAAAGGAATAAAAACAATCCTTTTAAAAAATAAAAAAAACACACACACACACACAAAGTTTTGATAGGTAGCTATAAGGAAAATGAGAGAGAGAGAAATCACCAGGGTGAGTAGGTGTTTCTTCTGACCTTGCCGTCCTGTGGTTGAACTCTCGGGGGCTCATGTAAGGATCTACCCACTTGCAGAGATACAAGAAGAATAAAATATCAGATGTAAAAATACTTTGATTTTAAAATTTTTACAACATTTTTTTCGGATTTACCCCAAACCGCTCCCCCATCCCCCGGTAAAAATACTTTGAAAGGCATTAAGCTCTTGGTGGGAGGAGGACCTTGTTAATCAATTTGAAAGTTTTATGAATGTGTTCACCACTTTTCTTTTAGGTTTGCTTTGGGGCTCACAGATTGGAGGACCAGATGTAAATGTAAAATGTAAACGTACTATTTTACAGTTAATTGTACAAAAGGAGTCTTTGTAGACATACATGTTTCTGATGTGTGTTTTTAGGATCAAGAAATGCAGAAATTACTATGAAATTCTGGGAGTTTCTCGAAATGCCAGTGATGAAGAGCTTAAGAAAGCTTACCGAAAACTCGCCCTGAAATTTCACCCTGATAAGAATTGTGCTCCTGGAGCAACTGATGCTTTCAAAGGTCTGATCATGAATTCCTGTTTAATTCTGCCACAAGATGTTTCACCCTACCCTGTCATTATTTTATAAGGCCACAAGTAGGGCCTTTTTTTCCTGCCATACCTCTTAAATAGTGATTATCAGCATAGCTCCCTCCTATCTTCGTTCACTTTAATTTCTTTTGGGAAAAAAAAATATTTATCTGTAATGGTACCTTTTTAGATCTGAGACATAAATAAAAATCTTACTTAAGACCTTCACCCCCAGTGAAGCTGTTGATTCAGGCAAGAATTATCAATGGATGCTAAAACTGCCGGGTGACAGGTTTTTGTTGAATAGAATGGTCACATGATGTCAGAGCATCATTCCCCAGAATACCTACTGATTACAAAGGGGAAAATTTGCTTTATAATGGAGATATCTAGCTGTCACCACTTTAACCCAGTGATCCAGCTTATCATCACCAATACTGGACCCACCTCACATTATATGATATGGCACCTGTGTGGTATTCTTCCCAGAATGTTCCACCTGAACCTAATAGCGAGGAAACCATCAAAATGTGGGACATTCTACAAGGAACACTGTCCTGCTCTCCAAAATAGTCAATATAACGAAAAGCAGAAAAGGTGGGGAGACTGTTCTAGAGGACAAGAAACTAAAGGAGTATAAGAGCAAATACGATGCATGAACTTTGGATGAATTGCATGGATTGATGTTAATTTTCTTAGCTATGATAATGGTATTGTGATCATGTAGGAGACTCTTCTAGGAGGTAGTGACTGAAATATTTAGGGATGACGTGCCATTATACCTGCAGCCTACTTTCAGATGGTTCAGCAAAAGAAATTGTACATACTACGTGTACATACGTATTTATGTAGGTATGGAGAAATGAGGGAAGCAATGTGGCAAAATACTAACAGTTGATGAACCAAATAGAGGGTATACATTTGTTTACTGTTTTTTCAACTTTTCTGTAGATTTAGAATTTTTCTAAAGAAAGGGTTAAAAAATTATAGCTCCGAGAAATTTAAAAGTCAACATTTACCTCAAAGGACAATCTCCCTTTTTTGGGGTGCTATTGTGAATCTTGTTCTCCCCACAGTTTCTACAAAGAAACAACTAGATAACCCACATTCTCTTTACACCTTCATGTAAAGTATCTCACAGACTAATGCCATTATATGAGAAATTGGCCAGATTTCAAGGGATGTGATACTGAAGCAACTATTTAGCCTTTTTTATTTGTTTTTCTCTACTTAGCTGTTTTATTGCTGTAAACATCTAATATAATTTCCTCGCTAGAAGAATCATAAATGCTCTTCCTGACTGTGTTTCTCATAGTGTTGGCTGAATTAGAGGTAGGGGATGGGGATGTCTTAAAGATTTTTTTTCAATAAAAAAAATAATAAAATAAAATAAAAAATAAAAAAGATTTTTTTTCAAGGTTTCTTTGATTAGTGGCAGTGATTGTATGTTTAAATTAATTTTAATTGGACAGTGTTTGCATATTTGTGCATAGAGAGAAGAGGTGTGGTAAGCATGTGTAATCTATCCAGTCTTTGCTCTGTCACTGACGCATTGGAGATAGGTTTCCTAATTTCTAAAGCCTGCTTTCTAAAGTAGGCTGAAATGTGACTCTGATTAGTGAGGACTTTGCTTTTAGCCAAGCGATTGATTTTACTGATTATTTTATTTAGGAGATTGTTTCTGACTTCAAGTTAGAATACCACTGCTTATGTATGAACTGTTTCCAACCATAAAGTAATTCCTCTCAAGGGAAATATGGACAAATTTTTGATGAATAAAAGCAGTAGTTCTTAGTTCGTCTTGAGTCCCATGTTGTTTCTGGCTTATCAAACTAGATCATGGAAAATGTCAAGAGTAAGAACTCTGGTGAACTTTCTAGGCCCAAACGCCTTTCCTTAGCCCCCCACAACATCATGCAGCAGCCTACAACTCTGGGCTCTTCATTGCTGCTTCCTGCGTTACCCTCAGCTACACCAAAGACTGTACTCAGGTACTTTTTGGTTTTGGTTGCAGCAATAGGAAATGCCTTTGCAGTCCTGAGCAATCCTGACAAGCGACTCCGCTACGATGAATATGGAGACGAACAGGTGACTTTCACTGCCCCTCGAGGTAGACCTTATAATTATTACAGGGACTTCGAAGCCGACATCACTCCAGAAGAGCTATTCAATGTCTTCTTTGGAGGACATTTTCCTACAGGTGAGTATTTCAAAATTATAGCTGGAAATTTTCTCTCTCTCTTTCTGTATCTCATCTAACTCCTCTTCAAGGATCTGAATAGAGGGACCATGGTATGGTGGAAACAGCAAGAATTTGGAATCAGATAAGCTAGGGTTTGAGGCAAGTCTCCAGCCAACTGTGCACGACTTTAACCAGATCCCTTGGTCTCTCTGATTCTGTTTTCTCACCTGAGAAATGGGGCTGATAACATATACCTCACAGGGCTGCTGTGAGGATTAAATATTTTTAAGTGCTTAAAAATAAGTAGGAAGATGCCTATTATCATTATTGCAAAATAGCAGCTATATAAAGATAAAAGTTAGAAACATACCCCCAGGGAGTTGGCCATTGGAATAATTAAATGCCCAGGCAATAAACTGAATTTTATGAATTGCTATTAAAGATACTAGTGTTGGGGTGCCTGGGTGGCCCAGTCAGTTGGGCATCCAACTCATGATCTCAGTTCAGGTCTTGATTTCAGAGTTCTGAATTTGGGCCCCATGTTGGACTCCATGATGGGCATGGAGCTTATTTATAAATAAATAAATAAATAAATAAATAAATAACCTACTTATTTATAAACAAAGATACTAATAACATAATCTGATATTGGACAAGGAAGCAGACAAGAGCATGTCAGACAGGATTCATGGCCCAAATGCTCTTTCTTTACTAGCCTTTTAGGGTTCTCTTACTCACTAGTCACAAAGGACTATTTAAATAAAAGCAGGAGAGCACATTCCATTTGCACCTGGTTCACTTGGCTTACCTACTGTTGTATTTTTCTACTGAGTAAAATGGGACAATACTCTGCCATCAGAGAACCTAGCTGGGAACAAGGACCTTGGGAAAAGCAAGGAAGGAATGTTTGCCATATTCTATACTAGGTTTTTCTCTCTTTCCCAGGAAACATTCATATGTTTTCAAATGTGACAGATGATAGCCACTATTACCGCCGGCGTCACCGACATGAGCGGATGCAGACACGGAAGGAAGAAGAAGAAGAGAAGCCTCAGGTACCAAGACAGGACAGCCAAACTGCAGCTCATCCACACTTGTACTGAGCTGACTTTTACAGTGTCTGTGATCAGGTTTTGGAAGTTCAACTTATGTTATTAAAACATGTTACAGGAAAGCAGAGGCAGTGGCGGGAAGGGGTGGGTCATTGTTCCAAATGGGCCAGGAGGGTACCTCCTTCCCCACTCGTTCTTTGGTGGCTGCTCTAGGAAATCAGTTCCCCTGTGGGGCTGTCTTGATCAAGGTTTTCTTCACTGCAGAAAATAGGAATCCCCTTCAGAATATTTAGAACTAAAGGGAGTTGAAAGTAAGGGACCTAGGGAGTCTCCTGAAGCTCAAGGGCGGGAAGCAAAGGACAGATAGGAACCAGAAACCAAGGTACAGACAGGCACCCGTTCAGCTATCTGTCCATGACTCTTTGTGGCCAGATTGTGCCCACCTTTTCCACCTTTCTCTGCATCTGCTTTATTCTCTTTAAACAACCCAGCTAGTTCTGCTTTTGCCTACAAGTAACCAATCCACACTGCCCAAGAGTACATGTTCTTTATTCAGGTGACTTCACAGCAGTGCACAGTGATGAGTCTCAGTTCCACGTTTCTGGGAGGGAGAAGTGATTATCCCTGCTAGGGTTAGATGTCTCCCAGTTCATTCAGCAACACAGCTACATAATACTAACCCCACCTGGTGAAAGTCACAGTCTAGGCAGACTCACCCGGAAGTGTCTGCTTCATGGGCCTTAGAAAAGGGGATTTCATGAGAATAACTGGATGTCAATACAGGTTGTGTGTGGGTCTCCTTCAGTCTTCTCCCCAGAGAGAACAGACTTCTCAGAAAAGCTCTGGGCTTTGTGCAGTACATTGCAGTAATTCGTATTTTCTTTGGGAAAACTATTCTTATTTTCTGTAAGCTTTACATTGATGAAGAACACTTACACCCAATATTTTTTTTCTTTTTCAGACTACATATTCTGCATTTATTCAGTTACTTCCAGTTCTTGTGATTGTGATTATATCTGTCATTACTCAGCTGCTAGCCGCTAACCCCCCATATAGTCTATTCTATAAATCGTAAGTCAAATATTTATCAATCTTTCTTAACAATTTGGAGGGTAAAAGACGAATATTTCGCTGGTACTGCTAACATTCCATTTCGCCTTTGTAGAAAACACTGGTTTTTTGTTCAAAGGAACAGCTGGATAGTAATAGTGCAGAGACTGAAAAATACTGGAGGCAGTTTCCTATGGGCTCAGGACATGGATTATTTTGTTCTACAGCGACATCATCCGATCAGCTGCAGAATAGCAGCAGCTGGTTTCTGAGGGATGAATAGACTAACTCCAGCTTCAGATTAAATCCTTATCATATCATGTTAGCTTTAGAATGGACCCTACTGAGCTTGTGGTCAGATCTCTGGACCCCTCTGGGTCGGGAACATAGTATCTGAGATCCAGTGATTATTTTCAATTTAAGTAATTGCAAGAATGGGACATTTATTCATGATGAGTTTATGTAGTCAAGCCATAGTAGGATATTACTTTGCTTTTGCAGAAAAATGCATGCAAACTATGAGCTATGATAGGTACTTCTTTATTTCTTCAGTTAGTTATTTCAGTTCATCGGTTTTCATCTTTGAGTCCCCAGCATCAACATCAACTGGCAACATGTTAGAAATGCAAACTTGTAAGCCTCACTCCATACATATTGAATCAGAAACTCAGAGGATGAAAACTAGCAATCTGAGGGGTTTTTTTTTTAATTAATTAATTTATTTATTTGACACACAGAGAGAGAAATCACAAGTAGGCAGAGAGGCAGGCAGAGAGAGAGGGGGAAGCAGGCTCTCCACCGAGCAGAGAGCCCGATGCAGTACTCAACCCCAGGACGCTGAGATCACGACCCGAGCCGAAGGCAGAGGCTTAACCCACTGAGCCACCCAGGCGCCCAGCAATCTGAGTTTTAATAAGCTCTCCAAATAACTCTGGTTCATTGTCTGAGGATCACTGGATTAATTTATTTCTTTTTAAGTAGGCTTCACACCCAGCTTGGAGCCCAACATGGGACTTGAACTCACCACCCTAAGATCCAGACCTGAGTTGAAATCAAGAGTCAAACACTTAACCAACTGAGCCACCCAGGCACCCCACTGAATTAATTATTTTAAGTTAGATGAGAAATGAGTCATTACTCATTATGGTTTAAGAGGCAAAAACCTTACAAAATGGGGGGACCTGGCTGGCCCAGTGCATAGAGCACGCAACTCTTAATCATCAGGTTGTGAGTTCAAGCCCCACATTGGGTATAGAGGTTACTTAAAAATAAAATCTTGTAAAAAAATTTAAAAACCTTACAAAATGTGGAACCCATGGGGTAGTATATAACAGGAAGAGTCCTTGCTGGCGATCACTGTAGAAACTATATTCTAGTAAACTGTAGAAATCTGTAGAAAACTCTATTCTACATCAGTATCTTCATTTTACGAAAAGGAAAGCTGAGTCTCAGAGAGGAATTACTGCTGTCAGATCACCCTGGCCTGATTCCCTCTATTTCCCGACTTCCCATATTTCCCCATTTGCTATTTCTCCCTCCTTTCTTACCCACCCAGTGGGGCAGAGAGGAACTTGCCCTGCTAACACGTTCCCAGATGGAGGTGGGAGCAGTTATGGCCTGAACCCTTAGATATCCAGGAAGATGCTTAAATACAGAAATCAAAGGAGAAAGCTGGGAAAATATTAACTTAGTCGAAATAGAATTTGTTGCGTTTGAATAAAACTAGCCTGGATTTTGCATGTTGCCACCACATTGTTTTAACTAGAATTTGAGCTTCTTTCTGTACTTCCTTAGAGTTCGTATTTAGTTAACCCAGAACTACTGATGTTTCTGAGCACCACATACTATTGGATATATTAGACCCACAAAGAGTTAGTACAGAAGCATCACTGAAATCTTTTGTCTGATGTTTTTGCTGTTCTCACTTAGCAGCCGTATGTGAAGTACTTTCTCTCCTGTGCTAAAAATTGGTGCTAGGTTGGTGTACGCTATCTGGTAATTTGTGAATAGTTTACTGTAACAATCAATTCATTTGCCCGACATTTATCAATAGCCTGCTCTGTGCCAGGTACCATGCTGGGTCCTACACAGCGTACAACATATTTTAAGCATTCAGCATTCAACTTTTAGCCCAGAAACCAATATAAGAGAGGGGATCCTCAAGGAGACTAAAGTAATTATACTGAGGCTCAATTTACAACATGAATACACTCACATAATAATGACATTACAGTTACTGTTTTGCTGGGGAAATTATAAATGTTAGGTGTATTTGACAGTGGTGCTTGCATCTGCCCTAAGAAGAGGGGATTATGGTCATGATATCTGTGTAGCTGGAGTTAAGAGTGAGATTGCCATATATAACTGGCTTACCTGAGCCTCTGTCTCCTTGTCTCAGGACCTTGGGCTACACCATCTCCAGAGAAACGCAGAACCTGCAGGTGCCTTATTTTGTGGACAAAAACTTTGAGAAGGCCTACAGAGGAGCATCTCTCCGTGACCTGGAGAAGACGATAGAGAAGGATTACATTGATTATGTCCAGACAAGTTGTTGGAAGGAGAAACAACAAAGTAAGATGTTGTAAAAGGGACTTTTCACTGGTGGTCATGCTTCCAACCTGAGGCATGCCCAGCTTCCCAGTCCTTCCTCTCTCCTTGTTTGAGTGGCACATGTTTATGTGATTGGAGGGCCCACTGGGGCGACAGAGGCCCATTTGGGACACCACCAAAAAAGTGAAATTTATTGAGAGGACACATGTGGCCAGAATTTGGAAACCTTAGCAACTTAGGCAGGCAGCACTAGTGGCCTATCTGTCTATCTGTCTACTTCTCTCTGCTCATCTGCCCCACTCTCCTCTCTGCCAACTGCCTTCCTTTGCTTCCTCAAGCTTTCCTCCTTCACAACCTGGTTTTGCCCTGGTTGGTTTTGGTTGCTACCCTCCTCGTCACTCTCTCAGCTTCCACAAGTCCACGAGTTACTAGCCTCTTTCTACATCACAAGCTTCCTCTGTAAGTGTGCAGTGCTAGCTGGATTGGTCCAATTTCCTAATCCCACATTCCCTACAAGAAAATCGGATTGATCCAGCCTAATTGTTTCAGCCAGACCAAAAGTCGGCTCTAGCCAGCTGGGGCCACCTAAATCGCAAGTGACCCCACCTGGGTCTGCCCCTTCAGTAAGTGTGGGTTTGAGCAGGCCTTCCATTCTGCTCCTTCTCTGAAAACAATGGGGGTGTCAGTGTCCGCCTTTTGGTTTAGGGAGTGCTGGTAGCAAGGGTAGCCCTGCCTCTCAGCGAACGGGTTCATTTTTCATCCCACTTGAATTCCACACATACAGGCATGTATGTACACCTGTGCAGGCGGTGGGGGGGGAATATACACACACCCTTAATAACTGTATCATATAAAATGTGGCTTTACTTTTTAAAAAGCAAACTCACTCATTTTTTAAATGGTATAACTGGATATTATTAAATGTCTAACAGTGCCTGATAAAATTAGCTCTTTAGTCACAGTGCCACTAAGCCCTCGCTGACCCATCATGCAGCCCAGCTCCACCCCCAAGTTAATCTGTCCTTCCTAGGTGTTCTTAAAATGCTTTGTCCATGCTGCTAGCACAGTACTACTCTCAGTGTTAGCGCTCTGTAGGTACGTGTCAGTCTCCCTGCTGGACTGCGAGCCCTCTGATGATAAGAGCCATGTCTTACCAATCTCGTGTCCCAGGCCCCTGGCACCATCCTTGCTTCAGAACAGGTGCTCAACAAATGTCCTTGGAAGAGAGGATTCTCAGGCCTGGAAAATAATGAAAATGTTTGCAGATTAAGAATCACAGAGCAGGGCGCCTGGGTGGCTCAGTGGGTTAAGCCGCTGCCTTCGGCTCAGGTCATGATCTCAGGGTCCTGGGATCGAGTCCCGCATCGGGCTCTCTGCTCAGCAGGGAGCCTGCTTCCCCCTCTCTCTCTCTCTCTGCCTGCCTCTCTGTCTACTTGTGATCTCTCTCTGTCAAATAAATAAATAAAAAAATCTTTAAAAAAAAAAAAAAAAAGAATCACAGAGCAGGGTTAGTGTACTTACCCTAGCCCTTAGGGACCTTGTCTCTGCCCTCTACTCCTCTCGGGAAAAGCCCGCCTCCACTCTCAGGTGCATTAGGAGCTTGATAGGCAATGATTCTGAGACATAAGGGGAAATTAAGCTGGAGAAAGTTGTTTTTTTAAATTTATTGAAAAATAAATACTGAAAAAAACAAGGAGGTCAGGAAGTACCCTACCTCATGTTAAACTAGTTGCAAGTTTCAAAAATCAGAAAAGAATTTTGGAGCAAGAAAAGGCTTTGGACAGAAAGGCATCTGATACATGGATCTAAATCAGGTGAAGGCCACAATGTGTGTCCTAAAAGTCCCCATTGTATTCACCCCTGGGAGGGTTTTGAATTTGTTGCTTTCTGCAAGAACTGGATGAAAATCTGCATTTCACTTTCTTCAAACACACACCCACCCACATACACTCCCCAGCTGGAACTATGCACAGAGCTCACGGTAAGGATTACATCTAAAATGGCTTTTAGGCTTCTTCTCCCCATCTGCCTGAGGCCTAGTTTCAGGACTTTGGTACCCTCTAGATATAAATAAAAATCCAGTGGGTAAGCATGATGCATGTACCCACAAGTTCCAAAGAGGGGGTTATCAGCACACACCCCTTAAAAATCTATTTCTGGCATTTAAGGATGGTGGCTGTCCAAACTCTCTGCACAACCCAAATGCCATTTGAGAATGAGCAGCATCTGCCCTCCCGATCCAGCAGCAAGTGCAGCCAACAAGGTTAAATTTAGCACTTGGAGGTTGTAAAAATAAATCCACTCGAGAACGAAGTTCACTCTTGGCAAAATACCTAATGGAAACTGTTTTTAGCAAAGTTAGCCATTGTCTTTTTTCATCTTTTGTTCATTTCTCTTCTCTGTTTTCTCTTAGAATATTTAATCTGAGTGAACTTCTGTGAGTAATCCCCTACTCTGAACACTGATGGCCCTGTTTACTCCTCCACAGCTGTATCTAATCAACCCAATGCCAGGGGAAGTGGCCATTGCCACCAGGCTGGGATGGACAAAAGTAACAGGCAGGATCTGCCTCCCAGCCTGGCAGAGCTGAGCTGAGATCCTGGCTCTGCCTGGCCGAGGAGCACTTCTTTCCGTGCCCTGGAGCAGGGCAGCACCGTGGGTAGAAGCTCAGGCTTTGCAATGGGGATAAAATGCTCTTCCTCCTAGAGACGCTGTCCGGGTTATAGAAGATGGTATGGGTATAATGCTTAGCCTGATGTCTGGCGCATATTAAGCTCCCGGTTCCTGGTGGAGTCCGCGCCTTGCACGGTCTTGCTAGAGTGGATGCAGTACTGTCCCAGGGAGTTGGATCCTGAGGGTTGGCTGGGATCCGTGTAACCTTCCAGACCACAGGAGTGCAGAGGGTTCTTTGGAGGGGCTCTGGGACTTGCTTCTTCAACAATTTGCCTGAGTCAGTTTGCCTGGAAGGCTCATTGCTCTGTCCATGTATCACACAGGAGTTCGGGGCAAGGGACATTTGTTAAGTAAGAAAAACTGTTCTCTTGATGCCCCTTCCAAGAATTCTTTTTTTTTTTTTTTTAACTTAGAAGTCACTGAGTATGAACAGTCAAAATATGTCAAAAGTAACGTATTGAGTTGACCCTTTTACTCATGGAAGGGCAAAAGCATTTGCTGGCTGTTTGGAGAGAAGTTTCTCCAAGCATGGTGGTGGGCAGTTAGGATGTGGTTCCTTGAAACACTGACATTGTTGCAAAGTCATTGATCTGGAGCAGGGGTCTCAACCTGTGGAGCATTGAAACCTGGTTTTAATGAACTTTATGAAAAGCTGTGTGATATTTTGAGAAAAGCATCCATCTAAGTGCAGTTACCCTTCACCAGCTTGTTAGAATGGACTCCAATATAGAAAATAGTAAGAATCACTAACCCTTAATTCTTTCTAGAATGAGATGTCAGGCAGTGAGGCACTGAGATAAGCTCAGCAAACAAAACACCTAAGGAAATCACTGAAGGAAAAGTAAAGCCACAGAATCTGTTCCATAAGCCGGCATACCAATGACTCCAGAGGACCAAAGGCGTAGAGGCCTGAACAGGTTTCCCACATGCCAGAGAAGCCAAGGAAATGGAGTTGGTGAGGTGGGCAAGCCCGGGGCGATGGGAGGGCTTTCATTTGGGCATGGCACATGGGGCTCCAGGAAGCGCTATTGCCCACAAGGATGAGGGCGCCAAGGCAGGCCCTGGCTGGCAGGCACTGCAGGCAACCGCACCAGTGGCTAAGAGCACATTGTTCGGGAGGGCCCCCGGGGAAAGGCCGCCCGCCAAGCCACTAGGGCCCCGGGCTCAGAGCCTCCATTGTAGAGGGAGGGTTTTCGTGCATGGCCGCCCCTCACCCTGGAGTCTTGCACTTAATCTGCACTTTGGGCCTTCCTTGGTGTAAATAGAATCATTGTAAGCAGAAATGCCAGTGTTTTGTGTTGATAGAAACTTACTCAGAAACCAATGCCCATTGTTCCCCCTGGCAAAGTATTAATTCCTGTTTCCAGTCAGTTTGCTGATTAATCAGACAGGTGCCTCTCGTTCCAGCAAGAAAAACAAAATCTGTTGGCAGGATGATTAAGAATGGATAGACATATTTCAAAATGATTAAAATAGCATTTTCACAAATATGGTCCTTTAAACACCGAGTAGCTGCCTGCTGTCGGAGGCTTTCAAAAGCCACACAGCCCATCCAAGTGTGCCATCCTGTTAATACACAACACGTCTCTGGGGGGGTGCTTTTCAGGCTTTCCTTCCTAAGAATGTCTCTGAAACCTGACAAAAGAATGAAAAATAGAGGCCGCCAAACTGCCGTTGCGTCGGGAAAGAACGGAGATTATATTCTGGTTAAAAATAGAATGACCTTCTCCACCATGAAGAGAAAATGAAATTCATTTAGTCAAGGAGACAAAGGTCACCGGATCCAGATGATTTCACTTTTAAAAGAGCCCAGCTGCCTTTGGCCTTTGAGTTAGGGACCCCACATGTGGTGAGGGAATGAAGAAAGCTGCCAGCAGCCTGGCCATCTATAGAAGGCTTACCCACCGGAGGGAGGCTCTGTGTCAGTTAGCATGTCTGAGTTATGATCCAGCCACGCAGGGGACAGAATGGAGCAGCTGTCTTTGTTTCAGATGACAGGAACAGGCGATTGGACTCCATTCTCTCCCAACTGCCATCTGAATGCCATTAGTAGAGAGGCTGTGAAACGGAGTCTCCTCTTACTGCACACGTGCACGTTTCCTAAGTCTGGTGCCAAATGTTCTATTGATAAGAACTAAGTCCAGTGCTTTTATAATAGAGCACGGATACTGTAGGACTCCGGGACCACAGGTGGCCTTTAATCCTCGGCACCTGGTGTAGCTGAGCTACCGGACTTGAGTTTCTCGAATAAATGAGTAAGCATTTCTCAAATTTAATTAAAAGGAAAAGCATGAAAGTAAAAGGAGCTGTGCTTCCAGAAATACTGAAACAAAACAAAGGGGCTCAACTCTCTTGATGAATTGGTTACCTCTTTTATCTTGCAGAGTCGGAACTGACAAATTTGGCAGGATTATACAGAGATGAACGACTGAAACAGAAGGCGGAGTCGCTGAAACTTGAAAACTGTGAAAAACTTTCCAAACTCATTGGCCTGCGCAGAGGTGGCTGAAAGGATGCTAGTCCTACACCGGGTTGGGGTTTTGCTACTTGTTACTATTTATGTTCCTAATTCCATTTTATAATACAAAATTAGGAAATGGCAAACATTTTACAACTTGCTAACTTTCGTGGGCAGAGTTGAAGGCACTTGAGCATGGAGCCAGACTTGCCATCACAGAATCCTTCCTGGGGATTGGCTCCAGGGGCCACGAACAGTTCACCTGAATTGAATTAAAAGCAAAGCGTTTGATGCAGCTCCCCCTGCTCCATGCCTATCCTGCCACTAGGATTGTAGTTCAGGCATCCCAGAGCAGGTCCACGTTTTCTTCCTCCTTCCCTTCTTCAGTTAAGTCTGGATATCCGTCGTTCCTAGGCATAGCCAAAGCAGCTTCGCATTAGTTGTTTACAGTGTACACGGAGAATGATAGCTCTCCCTTCCTGTGAGTCCTCATGGCTCCTAGCATTCAGCCCTTGGAACAGGTGCCCGCCCAACTTTGCATTTTCTAAGGGAAATGAGAGATGTTAACTATTACAGTCAATGGTTTTCCATTGCCTATCTCTGTTCAGAGTTACTAGCATTAGCAAACTGCCTGATTTGAGTTTCTTTTACTTCCTTAACCCTCTCTCTTGTGAGAGAGTCCAGAAGGTAAAAGCCACTGGGTAAAAGAAACAGTTCCATGGACAGCCCAGCAGCAGAAAGCAGGGACCTGGGGATGAAGGTAAAACACAAGCCTGAGTCTCAGCTTCTCGGTGCAGGTTCCCGAGGCCATCACAGAATCTGGAGAATATGGGTAGTTTTTTGCCATTTCCTCTTGCAGCATCACACTTGACCGGAGTCCCTACACCCCACGCAAGTACAGTGGTCAGACCTAAGAGCAGGCATTGCCGGCCAACCAGACTGGTTGCTCAAGCCTAGAGCTAGAGGGGAAAGACCCTCTTTCCATTGCTTCAGAGGTCAGTGTTGGTCCCAGCCATCCTGGTCTTTAACCCAGGGCCCCATCGCTTGTGATATGAGATGCCTTTTCACGTAATCAACATTTATTGAGTGCCTAGCGTGAAGCCGGAGCTCTCACATATATTTTCTTACTTTAGCCTCCTCACAACTCTGTGAAGGAGACATGTTATCCCTTTGTTTATGAAAGAGAACATTAGCCCAGAGAGGATGAATGGTTGACCCAGTCACAAAACTGGTAATGGCAGAGCTAGGTTATCAAGTAGAACATGTGAGGTCATTCCCATTTCTTTGGCAGTTCCAGCCAGATTGGTAAGGCATAATCTTTCCCAAGGATGCCCCAGTACCCCCTGACCATGTGACCCTGTGACCATATATCCTTTTTATGGCAGTCCTGCGTTCACTCCGGACCTTCCTCACTGGCCTTGAGGGAACAAGACCCTCTCTATAACAATTCTGTATACAAAACAAGAGGTCCTCAAAGGCAGGCAGCTGTTCCCACTGGTGACAAGGAAGAGGTTAGTTACTACCTAGGCCTGATAGTTCTGGGCCCTCTCTTCTAAGTGAACTATCAGGACTGAGCTGCCTAGATCATCATGAATCAGAACCTAGAAGATCAATAGGTGACTGTAGTCTACACTCAATGTTTTCTTCAGGAGGAAAGGAAAGTTCCTATATCAAAACTGATTTCCAAAGTAGAGTTTGTCCTTTCAGAGGCATAGCCATGATTTAGGCAGATGTGTCTAGCATGGTTCAACATGGACATTCCACAGGGTCAGGAGATGGGTCCAGAGGTGAAGAGTAGATCTTTGGTGGCTGGAAGGGGACACCTGCTCAGCTGTGGGAAGGGGAGCAGCTCCAGAGAAGCCAGATTTTGCTGCTCAGCTAGGTCCATCTTCCTGGTCTAGGGGGACTTCCTTGATCCTTTCTGAGTAATTGAGGGGATTTATACTATAAAATATGCCTGTGAGCCAAACAGGCTTATGGAAAGATTCCCTATTCACACAAAAATCAAAGCTCTCCCTTCCCCAACTCCAGTCTCTTCTAGAAAAAAAGGACCATGATTAAACTGACTTGACATGGATTTCATGGCAGAGATGTGTTGCCTGTGATGATACAAAACAGAGGTAAAACTAACTCCATTAAACATCAGGTCTCTTGTCTGTTTTCATAGCACTGATGGTACTGTTGTATTTATTACCTAAGAGACTACAACACATCTGGCTTTCCTCTCAGTAGAATGGTATTTGCCTTTGTTAGAGAATAGTTTCATCTGTTTGGTACAGTCCAGAATATAGCTGCACTCTAATTTCCTTGGTTCTGTTTTAGATGGGTTGTCTGCATGGTGGTAAAATAAGCATCTTCCTCTTGCCTACATCTTCTGGAAGTTTTCCTGATTATGTATAAACTCCTTAGGTAAGGCTTTTTCTTGCTGTTTTGCTGCGTAGTTCTCTACGTTTCCATGAGCATTCACTCCGAATGGAGAGGGGTGAGATGGGAGCGGGGCTGAGGAGGCCTAGCGGCTCAAGCAGAAGGTGAAGCTCCCACTCATCAGAGTGAAAGGACTCCCTGCACCGGCTGATCAGCAGTGAGGAGGGGAAGGTGAAAACCCTTCTCACACAGAGGACACCAGAGCCTCAAGGAATCCGTGTCCCCACATTAACAACCCTGGGGTTCATCTGTTCAAACCAGAAAACTTCTGAACTTCCTGGATCAGCTCCAGGCCTCACAGTTTGGGACAAGTGACCAGTAAGAAAGTGCCATTGCTATGCTTTCTGTTGGAAACTATTAGAAATCACACTGAACTCCAAACCCCACTGGAACATGGGATCCAGAAGCCCGGCCAAGCCTTGTGCTGTTCTCATTTTCATCCTTCACTCTCAGGACTGCCTTTGTGAGGAGGCACTGTTGGGATTCCAGAAGTTTTCTGTTACAACTGGCCACACTTGCTAGCTCATTGTCTCTGCATGCTCTGTTCCTCACAGAAGCTAGCTCTTAATTAGTATTTATTTTGGACTCGTTTATGGTATAAGCTTAGTGTTCTAATGTATTAATTTTTGGAAAGGGCCAAGTTACTCTACATCATATTTTTTGAGCCTGTGTTGCTGATCCCTCGTGCAGTGACCACCGAGTAACTATATATCCATGTGTTCGATATTGATTACATCATTTGCATCACACTCAGTATTTGGAATTAATGATGTGAATGTTCTGTGACCAGAGCTGGGTTTGACACCAGTGGAATCTGCTCCTGGGGAATACGAATCCTGAAAACTCTGGTCACCTGATCCACTGCATCTGGATTGAGTGTATTTTAACAGAGAAAGAAATTAAATGATTTTATACAAAAAGAATGGGTCTATATTTTCCCTTTGTTCTTTTCCTCTTGCTCATGTCACCCCTGGGCACCACGTCCTTCCTCACTGCCTTGGAGCCACCTGGGACTAGAGGCCTACTCTCCTCTGTTCCAGCCTTCCCGAATCCGTCACTGGAACTGTTGGTGTTAAGAACAACAGAGAACTGGTGGCATCACCAATTCCACAGGCCTCTTCCATCAGGTAACAAGAGCAGCCACAGCATATCACAGCCAACGCACAGAGCTAAAGCTAAGTTATCCCAGTTCCTTAATGGCCTTGTTCCCGATGACCCATGTTTCAGGAAATCTTGGTTGAAATATACAGGACATAGGGGACTCCTGCCTGACTCAGAACAACATGTGACTTTTGATCTCAGGGTCATGAGCTCAAGCCCCAGGTTGGGTGGAGAGAGAACTAAAAAATAAATAAATAAAAGACTTTAATAATACAGTACATGGTTCCTAATAATACCTTTCATTTGGAAAAAGATGGCAATGAGATTCAATTCATCAAAGATGGAGGACTTACTGTGTTGGGTGGGCTGAGTGTGGGGATGGGGGTGGGGAACAAGTGAGACCCAGCACCATGGCTCCTGGAGCTCAGGCCTGAGGGGGAAGCCAACTTTAGACCGTGCTTCCCCAGCAGGGTGAATGTCAGAGGGGAAATCAAGGAAACCTTGGGGATCTATAACAGGAATCAATCCAGTGTGAGCCTTCAGTGCAAGCAACTCTACGGAAGAGAGACTTGAAACATAATCACCCTTCTTACAGAATGCAGTCCTTTTTTTTTTTTTTTTTTTAACAGAAGAGGGAAGCAACACTCAGTGCTCCCAGTTCCATGCATAGCATCATCCTCCGTCCAAGGGTGAAAGTCAGAAAGCTAGGAAATGTATAGTAGACTGCATTTGGTAACCCCTAAAGGACCACACGTAATATTTGTGCCCTTGTGTAGTCCCGTTTCTAATCTGGGCTGGCCTTTGATCTTTCACCAATAGAATGTGGCAAAATCAGCAGCTTCCATTTTTGCACTTAGGGAAAGCCAGCTGCCATGTCGGTCCAACCAACCCTGCAAACTCTAAGATAACCCCATGGAGAAGAGAAGCAAACATGCAGAGGAGAACCAAACAACTGAGCAGGCAGCAAGAACTGAGAACCCAGACATAAAATCTAAGCCCAGCTGTGCAGACCACCCAAGCCGACAGGCAGGACATAAATGAGCTGTCCCACCAAGCCCTGTTCAAACAGCAGAATCACGAACAAATGATAATATGGTTACTGTTTTTTAAGTCATGACATTTTGTGGTAGTTTGTTTGCAGCGTAGACAACCAGAACACCTTGGCTCCCTTTTTCCCCCATATCCCCTCCTTCCTTAAGTCCTATCAGTTTGACCTCCTGAATAGTCCAAATCCAACTGCTCTCTTCATCTCCTCTGACGTGATCTGACTCTAAAACTACCAGCCCCTTTTTGTGATGAAAACTGCAATAGCTTTGGGGTGCCTGGGGTGCACAGTTGGTTGAGCGTCAGACCCTTGGTTTCAGCTCTGGTCTGATCTCAGGGTTGTGAGATGGAGCCCTGCATTGGGCTCTGCAGTCAACCCTGAGTCTGCTTATGTTTCTCTCCTCTTCTGCCCCTGCCCCCTGCTCACTCGTTCTCTCAAATAAATAAAATAAATCTTTAAAAAAAAATGCAATAGTGGGGCCCCTGGGTGGCTCAGTGGTTAAGCCTCTGCTTTCGGCTCAGGTCATGATCTCAGGGTCCTGGGATCAAGACCCGCATTGGGCTCTCTGCTCGGCGGGGAGCCTGCTTCCCCTTCTCTTTGCCTACTTGTGATCTCTCTCTCACTCTCTGTGTCAAATAAATAAATAAATAAATATATTTTTTAAATGCAATAGCTTTATTTTTTATGTTTATTTAAGCAATCTCTACACCCAACATGGGACTCAAACTCACAACCCTGAGATCAAGAGCTGCGTGCTTTACTGACTGAGCCAGCCATGTGCTCCAAAAACTGCAATAGCTTCTTAAGTACAAGTAGTGTCTATGCATCTACTCAGGACCACGTCCAATCTGTACACCTCACTGCAACCAGAGAGATCTTTTCAGGACATAAATTATGTCACACTCTTGCCCAAAGTATTTGAGCAGCTTTCTTTTGCACCCAGAATAAAAACCATCAAAGTTCTTAACACGGCCTAACACTGAACAAGGTTCTACCCAGTTTCTGGCCGCTGACCCTTCTTGCCCTTGTACAACCTTTTCTTTTCTGCCATACTAACTTTTTAATTATTATAATCTGCCAACTCCTTTTGCCCCAGGGACCTTATAAATACTGTTCCCTCTTTCTGGAACCCTTTCCAACTCACCTGCCCCTACCTGTTTTGTTAAGTGCCTCCTTGTAATCTTAATAGGTTTCAGCACAAACATCCCACTTCCTCACAAAAGCCTTCCTGGACACCCCAGACTGGGCAAAATCTCCCTTTAAAATAGTCTCATGCAGGACAACTGGCTGGCTCAGCAAGTAAGCATGTGACCCTTAATCGCAGGGTCATCAGTTCAACCCTACCTTGGGCATGAAGACTACATTAAAAAACAACAAAAAAAAGACAAAACAATACGCAGTCCTCTCTTAACACCTGTCATAGATATAATGTTATTTATTTGGATAATGACTCAATTTGGGATTTAAGTGTGTGTTTATTTGATGCTTGTCTCCCCACTAGACTAAGTTTCATTCTGATTTTATCTGATGTGAACCTTGAAAAAATGACATGTCATCTGCTAGGATGTCCACTGGAAGTGCAGCCCGAATTCCTTGAAGCTACTCCTACAATAGACAGGATGTGTTCCCTCTCCTTGCGTCTGAACTCTGAGGCTCCCTGGCAAATAGAATATAGCAGAATTTACACTGTGCCAGTTTTCAGGCCCAAGCCTTAAGAAAATGGTCATCTTCTTTTTCCTATCACTTTGGATGCTTTCTCTTAAACCTAATCACCATGCTATAACAAAGCCCAAACAGCCCATGGAGGGGAACAAGAACCTTGGTCAGCCTCAAATGAGCTCCCAGCTGATAACTCCAACTTGGCCAGTTACGTAAGTGAGCTATCTTGGAAATAGAATTTCTAGCCTCTTTCCCTCTCCTCCCTCACTCCCTCCACCCAAAATCCCAGCTGATATAACATGGAGCAGAGATGAGTTTTCACTATTGAACCCTGCCCAAATTGGAGTTTCCCGAGTGAAATAATTTTTTTTTTTAAGCTGTAAATTTTGAATGCTTCATTATACAGCAATAGGTAATAGGAACCTCAACCAGAATGACAACCCTGTGCAGAAAGGCAACACTTCCTGGGTTAGGATCACAGAGCTGTTTGTGATGTTATGTCATCCCGACCCTCACTGAGCCCTGACTGAGGCCAGGAGCCTGTAGTATTTGTTGGCATACAGATGGGAGTCTGTGGCAGTCCCCCAACCAGGATGACCATCCTTCATGTCCATGCTGGTATGCAGACATGGACCCAGGCTTCTCTCTCGCTCATAATCTCCTATCCCCAGGGAAGTGGCTGGTGGGGACTACTGAACTCCAGAGTTTTGCCCTCGACATTTCCAGTGCTGAACAACTAGCTACATGTGGCTAGTGGCTGCCATACAGAACAGTGCAGATGTAGACTATGGCCATCACATAAGTTTTATTGGACTGTACTGCTCTAGGCTCTTTAAGATTGGTCAACAAAATGGCCTTACTCTCTTGGGGCCCTGGGTGGCATAGTTGGCTGAGGGTCTGACTCTTGGTTTAAGCTGGGGTTGTGATCTCTGGGTTGCAGGATCCAGCCCTCAGTGGGCTCTGCGCCCCACCTCGGTCTCCAAACTCATCATGGAGTTTGCTGGAGTTTCTTTCTCCTTCTCCCTCTGCCCCTCACCATACTTGTGCTGTCTGTCTCTCCCCTCACCCTGTCTCTCTCTCTCTCTCAAATAGATGGATAGAGAAAGAAAGAAAGAAAGAAAGAAAGAAAGAAAGAAAGAAAGAAAGAAAGAA